GAGTGGCTAGCTGAGTGGCTGACTGAGTGGATGACTGAGTGACTGACTAACGATCTGACTGAGTGGATTGCTGAGCTGATAGGGTAGGTAGTGTTGACTAAGCGGCTGGTCGAGTACCGCTGGCTTGGGAGAAGTATGTAGGGGAGGACGATGGCTGTCAATGCGTTCGGGCTCTTTTTGAGGGTCTTTTAACGCGTTTATGAGCAGTAGTAGGTAGCTGTTGGGCTCGCTTACGGCCTCGATTGCCAGCAGTAGCGGATTCGTCGAGGGGTGGTCTGGAGGCGTCAGTAAGGGGTTCAAAAGACGGGCGGAAGGGATACGTGCCTTAGATATTTAGCAACATTTGGTGGATTGATAGAATTATAGAAGAAATATAGTTAAAACAGGGTGATGAAGAACGGATAGGGGAGGAAGACGCGTCTTGGGAGGTAGCATCGCTGGGTTGGAAGGCATTATCGCTGGCTTAGGAGATATCTATAGGGGAGGACGTATCCGTTCGGGCTCTTTTTGAGGGTTTTCCAACGCGTTTATGAGCAGTAGTAGGTAGCTATTAAGCTCGCTTGCGGCCTCGATTGCCAGTAGTAGCGGATTCGCCGAGGGGTGGCTTAGGGGCGTTAGTAGAGGCTCTAAGAGGTAGGCAACAGGGGTGTACGTGCCTGAAACGTTGAGTAACCTTTGGGCGAGGGATACCGAAGACGATTGTGTTTATATTGATGGAATTGGTAGAATTGGTAGAATGGTGGAAGAAGAATGGTTACACAAACAGGTGGAAGGATTATTATCCGATCCCGGACGCGTCTGGTGTGACTACCATGACTACCATATTTGAATGTCCATTTAATCCACCAATAGTAGGCCAAACTTCATTATTTTTACAGCGTTAGAAAGCGCACACTGAGCTCTATAATTTACCAAATTATGAAGAAACAGCATCCGTAGGGAGCTGGTTATTTTAGAGTGTAAAACTTCTACACACAAATTTTTGATGAGGGAGCTCGGGAGGGCTAGCGGGCTGACTCAGTTAGTCTAGCCAAAAGGCGTAATAACCCCGAATTTATGATTGGCTGCACATACAAATTCAAGGTTTTCTATGTTATATATACTGATAGAACGAATAATTAAGATCTTCTATAGTTCGATATTCTTAATCTCTCGTATAATTATTACAATCTATAAAGTTTTTAGAGCGTTATAAGTTATCGTTGTGAGGCTATTCAAGAAAAGCACTTTTTTATTTTTTAGATAGGGATGCCAAAATCGCGATTCTATTTTTCTAATGATTAAGAAAATAGGGGTAAGAGAGCGATGTTGGCGGCTACGAGTAGAATAAGTCCAAGCGCTGAGTGCAAAGCCCAAATAGGTGGCCAACCATCTCTCTTCTGTTCTCGCTTCGTCAATGACAATGACATTGTGGAAATCCGATTGGAACCTTGTTGATAATGCAGGTCGAGGTAGTGGAGCTGTCTTGGAACAGCTCTGATCCAAGGGTCCTGGCCATCTCGGAAAGTGACGGAGAGACGGCGCCTTCCCTGAAGCTAATCCCTCTCGAACTGACACCACAGTGAATAACAGCTCTGCCTCTACAATAGATACACCTGCTTGAAATAGGTCTCTCGACTAAGCCATACAATAGACTGGAGTGACTGGTGCCTCTCAAGCGAAGTGACGGGTTTGTGTCACTCATGCTCCAACGAGCACCCAAGCGCGCATTACTCTAGACCTGGACCTTCACTGGGAGACCGCCACGATACGAAACCTCTTCACTGTATCGACATTTCACAAATAAGAGGCAGCACTTCACTGCTACGGCTAGCGCGACCAGTCACGCCTGTCTATACGGCAAGGAGCTACAAGATTGAGGAGAAAGGAGAGAGCTTACGGTCTTGGAAAAGGAAGGAGGGGACTACAAAGGGGATGGCATGGCTATGACAGGATATGGGTCAGTGACATTTGGCAGGTGGAGTGGAGAGGAGGAGCTTGAGCAAATGAACGCGCCTGACACGGGCTGCCGGAGACCTGTTGGTGCAGGCGAGCATAGACTCAAGATCATCATGTCAACATCGCTACAGATTTCGTATACAAGCCAAGCCAATTCAGTCCTGCGCTTTGAACTCTGGAATAGGAAAGACGTCGATGGTTGAAAGCTCTGGCTCCCATTGCTAGCCCCACTTTCCAGGATCTAAGGTATGCGCACGCTGTAGAGGATATCCTGGAGCACGTTCGAGACAAGGATGACCAGCGTTAATGCTGTTGGCAGGGAGTAAGATGTGCAGGATATTCGCTGGGCTGGTAGCACTCTGGGGCTAGAGGAAGAAAATAATCGTGCTGGACAGCTACGCGATTTATGGGCCCACGGCTCCAGAGAACTTGCTACAGCGTTGACGGGTAGGTAGTTTTCATGCTCACTGGACGCTAATTGATTCACTGCAGGCCAGCGATAAGGTAGCATGGCGGTTGTAAATTTGTAGATGCATCTAGGATAGCTAGGCTAGGATTGTGAGATGCATATGGCGACATCTGAAGTTGAAGCAAAGACTACGGGGAGCGAACACAGCTCGCAATAACCTGTTGAGATTTGCTGCAGCACGTGTTGTAGCACCCCGCATGGTGGCAATCAGGTGGCAAATTAGCGTGGTGGCAAATACGGGTATAAGTAGCCCACTCAGCACCCCATAGCTACCTAATCAATCAATCCTCCTCATACATTTCCAACATAACCGGACTGTAACAAAGCACACTGTTCCTAATGTGACCCAAACTTGTTGTTCCAGTCCTCCAAATTTTGGACCTCCTTGACTGAAAGGAGACTTCTGACCTTCGATAAAGCTGTTGCGATGTCGCTCAATGACACCGGACTCATTCGTACTCGTGGCTTGTCGGTAGGGTCGAGTGCTACCAGTTTTCGAACCAGTGCTCTCGGTTTTGAACCACAAGGACGTACGATTTGTTGGCCGTCTCGTAAAGTATGCTTCCATAAGATCAGCAGTGTCATCAAGCTCGAAAATGTGGTAATTTTACTTGCTCAAAACAGTTGGAGCGGACGACTCACGTAATTTCGAATTTCTGAGTTCGCCCATGGCGCGCACAATGTCATCACCCCCGAAAGCAACCTATGCCGTTTCATGACTTCCCGGCGAGTAAGTCCAGCTGAACGGTGGCCGCTGGGGTATCGAGATACAGGTCGTGATCATACTCCCGTAGTTGGGTTTGGATGGTACTGAGCACCGCCGCCACGTCTGGTAAGGGTACCTATATGCGCATGTCGAACCTTCTGAGAAAAGCTGTATCCATGGCCTGGGGCCGGGTGGTTATAGCGAAGTATGAGCGTCTGCCGTCCTCCTGAAACTAATACTGACCACTAGTTACAGAGGTAAAATTAACTCAGAAGGCATGTAGACTGGACTGACATTTTCCTTACTGCACAGCATGTTCTCAAGTGGCAGCCGACTAATTCTCCTCTTACATCGTCCAGCAAGAACTTCCACGCCTACAATCAAGAAGGAATTCCACCTCGAGCTTCTCGAACATCATGGCTACACAACAAGAGCATGACAAGACCACAAGCTACCGACATTCTGATCTTCACGTACCTTTGTGGCATTGCAGCAACTGTAGAGTGAACAACTACGCTCATACCTTATCCCCCCCGAACTTTCAGCACCGCTACATCTTGAGCAGAGCCAGTGAAAACCTAGTAAGTACAGTAATTGCGTGCACCCAATCTTGCGAAGCCAGAATTATGGCTGTATGCACAGCTGACGTTCCTGTAAAACAGAAGACGTCTGCGCATACCAGAGCCAAGACCTGTGACCTACCTTACAAGGGCTCAAACGCAGCCGATTCCCAACGGCCTATTCTTGGGTTCATCGAAATTCTTTCTTATTGCCGGTACTCTTCTTCCAGGTAACCAGCGGAGCCGGAAAGGATTATAGGGGTAGAATAAGAGAAGGTTAGTGCTGGGAGAAGGGACGAATAGATGATTCCGACTGTGGGCTCATCTGCCGATTCGAGCATAAAAGTGGCTTGAGAAAGGCTTCCGGCACGACCTATAATTGCCAGAGCTGGCCTTGACTCAAAGCGCTCCGAGTATTCACTTTCTTTAAACCCCATGTCTTCACCGGCAAACAGTGCATCTCAAATTCAATACCCTCACGCGGCTATCTATCCGAGCCTCGTTCTGCGACCAGCGTCCCAATCACAACGATTAACTTAGCAATAGACAGAAAACCCCTATGCTTTCACAACAGAATGTTATCACAACAGAATCGGTAGTCGTTACTACTATCTCGAGCAAAAGCGGCGAGGGCGCTGATCCCTGCGAGACCTGCAGCTCGTGAGCCTTCCTCGCAATCATACATTCTTGTGCTGATCATCAGTCAAGACAGCCAGAGCAAAAACCTCCGGACCGGCTTTGGTCGGAGGATGTCGTTTGTTCAAATAGCTCAACCTGGGAGAGAGAAGGCCAGGAGGTCGAGGTGGAGATAGACTCAGCAGCGAATGACCAGACGATTTCGAGAGCGCTCCGGGCCGTTCCATCGCATCAGGCCCTTGCTAGAGCGTGTGCAGTCTAAGGAAATCGCGTAGTGGAGCAACACGTTTACACAGGGTAAAGAGAGACCGATGTTGAAAACACGAGGCCCATGGCAGGAATATGAAAAATACGCCATACTCTGCGGAAGCCTGAGGCTTCTGGAAGGTCTGGGAAGGAGAGTTTATTAGCAGTACCTGAACAGATACCTAAACCAGGGCTTTCTCTATCTGCTAAACGTCCGGTGATTTGGCTATCTTTGCTGATTGATTGGAACTGGGGGTCTGTTTATCGCAAGAGGGAAATTTTGGATGCGGGCGAGGAATCCCAGTATTGGTCACGTATACGGAGATTTCGAAAAGGGTCATGTATTGATCAGATGCTGCGAATATGTTATGTCGTTGCACCCAAAACCTCACACGTTATGTACATCCAGAAGGCACATGAAAATTCCAGAATAATTCAAAGGATTTCATTTTGCCCCAGAACCCCACTTAACAAGCCTCCCAGACACATGCGGAAAGACCATCCAAGCGTCTGCCTCCTTTGGCGTTTCCAGCTCGATTGTAGACCAGCTACCGGCCTCAAGCAGATGCTTCTCAGTAGGTCGATCTAGGTGGCAGTTGCCCAAAGCGTACGGCCAGACGAAGTTATAGACCACTTTGCAATTTCAGCCTTCGCTCTAAGCCAGTGGGTTGGGAAATACATACGTTGAACCAATTGAGATATATAGTCTTCGCTCTTGACATGCTCATAGACGATCATCTGCCCTCCCGGCTTGAGCAACTGGTACAGATCTTTCACCAACGCCGCCGGCTTGGGTACTGAGCACAGCACTTGTACACTCGTGACAGTATCGATAGTTCCAGGCTCAATACCGTACTCGCTGAGCTTCTCAATGTTCTCCACTCCGCATGGAACAATGGTATAGACATCGCTCAACCCATTTACCTTGACGTTGCTCCGCAAAGCATCGTGCAAGTCGACGTTTGGCTCAACGCCATATATTCGGTCGATCTTGGAGATGTCGTAACGGGGAAGCTGATTGCCGCTACCAGGACCGACTTCGACAACTGTGCCATAGGCTTTTGCGACAAGTTTTGGGAGATCCGTCTCTAGCTCTCCGGCGGCAATCGTCTCGTCTGGAAATGGTTAAGATTATCACGCTGGACGCTTTAAGGCCAGTCGCAAGACTGTAGGCATACCTATTCGAAGCCACAATTTCCCAAAGATACGTTCACTCAATTTGCTCGGACTGAGGACATCTTTAGGCCGGGTTTGGAAGGTCACGATCTCGAGCAGAACAAGAAATGCGCCTGTTAGGAATGTAAGCGTTTGAAGAAGGACCAGTCTGACCGTACATACCATAAGCAGCAATCGCAAGGAATCCTAACGGTTCGAGATAAGCTACTAGGCGCTTGAAAATGTCGAGGGTCATGCTTCGATCGTATGTCTTTTAATTTCTGTCGGGATACTCAGCCTGGATTGAGAAGACAGCCATATATGACCAACGACATTTTACTTGGAGGTATGGGATTCTACGCCAATCATGAAGAACTCGCAGGAGTTGTGTGGTAAAGTGCATCCAAATGACGGAGCGGAATGCCAAGCCAGATCACATGATGAAGATCCTTGCCGCCACCCGGGGCAAAAATACGAGGAATTCGGGGCAGCGGAGCGTTAAATTACACCATCTTCCGCATCTCTCCATTAGTCTGGACTTGGCACTCAGCCTCATCTAGTGCCAATACACCCATGACAGACCGCAAGGAATCTCAGCATTGCAAGTATCTCCTCCACGGGAGCTTCAGTACCGAAAGAGCATTTCGCGAGAGCCGCCTCCTGAACTAGAGACCCAGACATCTATTGTACGCTAAATGCGCAACTCAACAGCATTCTGATGCCTGCGCGAGCTCGAGCTGGGTCAAAGGTTTTGGACTCCTTGTCAGTGAAACGCACGAAGGAACCCTCTTGTCGGTACTCGGTCACTCGACCTGCTCTCCCAAGAGGCGAATACTCCATATCAAACCATCACTTCGGCAAGTGACGTCTGATGGTAGACCGACTAGAATCAGCATCACAGAAAATCAAGTACCCTCAAAAATCTAGCGCCTGAACCATTCGCTACTACCCACCTTCTTTCATTGCAAGACATGGCTTCTTTCCAGAGCTTGCCCAACGAGTTACTCGAAGTAATTGTCAATAACTTGCCGCGGCAGGACCTCCCTCATATACGACTGACATGCTCTCGATTGGCACAAATTGCAACTAAGCCAATGTTTAGAAAGCTTGTTCTCGGTACCAGTACCGAAAGCGGGAAGGGCTTCGTCGAGATTCTTGCATCTGAAGAGCTCAGGACATGCGTTTCTCAGCTAACGTTCAACAGCTTTCAGGTTGGCCAAAGGGTAAGAAAATTCCTACTTCTGCGCCGCAAGCTGACTTTACGGACAGGTCTGCGAGCGTGGCGCTGCTACCCTACCGAATGAGGTCATCCACACTCTTCGCAACGTTTGTGCCTTCGAGAATATTGGGTCTGTTTGTATAAACCTCCCATGGAATCGTCGAGCTGCGGGATCTCTTAGAAACGTTGTTCCGCAACAGTATCATTTCCAAATCCTCGACATGATTCTTGCCAAACTGCTCACTCCGAGTGGCCGTTCGCTGCCAATAAAGACACTCGCACTACACAATCTGCCGTCTAAAAATACCCCTGTGACGGAAAAGGAAGGGTTCGATAGGTTCCTTGGCCGCCTTTCGACACTCCAACTTGGTGTATGGATGCACGACAAAGGCGTTCCTGAAAGTAGAGATCATATCGATCTAAGCATCAAATGCTTGGACTTCTTTGCGAAGCTTCCTGTAGTCTGGCTCACGCCAGCACGAAACCTGTCCACCCTGTCGCTTTCCTCCGATGATCATTGGGGCTACTACCCAAAAGTCGATATTGAAAAGACGTACTTTCCCAGTCTTCAAGCGCTCGCGTTGGGAAAGCTTTGCTTCAGTCACGATTCAAAGTTGGAGTGGCTACTGAAGCATGCCACCTCTCTCCAAAGACTTTACCTGGTCGATTGCTCCATTCTTCGAGAGGCTTTCTTCCTTGGCCAGCAAGACAATGACGGATATCCGGCCGGCAGGATCCAGCGGGGGAATACAGATCAGAGAAGCTATACTTATGAGCGTTGCTGGTCTTATTATCTCATGGAGATGTCCTTGTCATTGAAAAATTTGACTCGGTTCGTGATGCACTCCCGCAAATCAGCAGCAGCGTCGTTTAGCTCCTGGAGAGACATTCCTCCTAGTCGCGATGAACGTTACATACGATTTCTTGCCGATGGAGTATTCGAGCCTTGCACAGCAGAACAAGAGCTGACAAGCGAAAAGGAGGATTGGGATGCGCTTGCGAATCTATTGGAAGTCACGACGGCACGTTCCAACCGCCGTCGGGGTCCAAACGATCGCCAATTTGAGGAGTCGATTCCGGGGTATTGGTGAGACGTGATATCTTGGGGGCAGGAATGTCGAGCGATACAAGAAGGTGTTACCAGTCCAAAGGCGGTGCCAAGATGGATTTTGGAGCAGCTTTATGTTGTAGGATCATCCAACATGATACCAAGTTGCAAATCAGCGCCAACGAATCCTGAACTTTTCTGTACGGGGCCCCGTCTGTATCACGTCAGGCTTTCTACGACAGGAAAAGGTACAGTTGCTGTGTAGAACCCTTTCAGCTGTACCCCATGCGCGACAAGTCGAAAAAGAAACCCACATCCTCTTTCCGAAAGCATGTCTAGTATCGGTATCCAAACCTTGTAGAACACAATCCCACGCCTTACCAAACTCATACGACATATCTTGCGCGATCTACACGAACTCTCTCAACAGCATTCCTTCAATATCGCATTCGTCACACCACTAACAGAACCTTTCCCTACCTCGAGTATATAAACCAGCACCATTCACTGACCACTCCACTACCACACTCTCCCCAATCACAGCCTCCCACCCCTCTCCCGCCATCTCCCTCCCCTCTGATCGACAATCTCCCAAACCTATAACGAACCATCCACGACCACGTCACCCGGTCGACCTCCCCAACCCCACGCCTAACATTCGCAACACCAGAGCCCGACATCCGCACTCTCGAACACGACGCCTCCTCCTCCTCCTCCTCCTCCTCCCAATCACGAAACCAACGTCCTTAGAAATCGATCCTAAACTTCCATCTACAACTGCCCCAGACCTGGCTCGCACCAGCGGCGCAGAAGCCGGGATATGGGATCTGTACGCGGATAAACCCACCCCTGGGGCTGGTATCCAAATGTCGATGTCCGCGGCCGTTGACTTGCCTCGCGTGGGAGACGTGACGCTGGTTCGCTTCAGCTTCGGTCAGGGTTGGGAACTACTGTGGTTTTCGGATCGGGCGGATACTCTAAGGCGGCTGATGTTCTTGACGTGTGGGATATGGGGTCATGATGCGGTCAGGAGATGATAGTTTGGTAGCGAGGGTACGATAGAGGGGTGTGTTTGGTTATCAAAGCTGTGAGGAACACGAACGCTCACGGTGTGCATCTACCTACTTGGGCGTGGAGGGATTCGTGCCGGGAATGGTCACATCGGATATAGCGACTGACTGGGCTGGTGCTCTTGCCTATCTCATCTGGGGGATCTCTTTGTGGTAGTAATGGATGACTCCTGAATCCCATCATCTCTGACGTTCCGCCTCCTCCCTCTGTTGCGCTAACCACTCAGAAGCTTCTCTTTGTGTCTCCTTCGCTGCTTCGGGGTCTTCCCGTACCCTCTCGGCTCTCTTGCGAGATTCTTCCTCCGCTCTTGCCGCTCGTGCTATCCTTGTTGCCTTCTCCCGCGCTTGCCGGCGTATTTCCTCTGCTGCCCTCGCCTCTTCCGAGTCCATCGTTCCATGCTCACGCATCCTCTCGGCTCTTCGACGTGCCGCCTCCGCCGCCGTCGTTGCTGCTCTTCTGTTCTCCTCCTCGACTCGTCTGACCCTCTCCCTGGCCCACCAGGTCTTCCGGTTGTTGTCCTTTTCGAGCAAACTTCTGTGGTCTTCATGGGCGGTCCGGAGCTCGTTTTTTGCCGTGTTAAGGTGGGCGTTGATATAAGCAGATTTCGTTAAGAATTGTCGATGCCGCTGGGCGTTGACTTTGGGGGGACGCGACTTGATGAAGGAGGAGAACCAGCCTTGTGCTTTCTTCTCCATGCTGACCGCTCTGTCCTCTGCATCGAACAAGTCGTTGAGGCTGACCAATAATTCCCGAATCTCACGTTCGAGATGTTGGATTTTTGTGATTCTTGCACATTTCTGGACGGTCATTTCGCGTAATTCTGCTGACCAGAAAGAAGGATCTCGTGTATAAGCGTTATAGGGCTCGTAATATGGTTCTCTCCATGTGCGTACTGATGGATTTGATGGTTTAAATGCGGCAAATTTATCGTAATTTGCGCGTTTGTCATCCTCACAGAGGGCTTCATAAGCGGCTTGGATCTTGGTGCAAACCAGAGATCATCAGCAATGGATTTCAACGACAATGGCTATTGCTGACCTCTTGGAACAACTCTTTGGCGCTTGGGTCTCCCTGGTTCTTGTCCGGGTGTAATTGCAGTGCAAGTCTTCTGTAAGCATGCTTGATCTCCTGCTTTTTGGCATTTGGAGGGACCCCAAGTGCTTCGTAGAAGCACCTGCCAGCCGGGGCATTCATGATGTGCTGCTCGATCGAGTCGTGATAAGAGGTGGCAACCGAGGTGTTGTAGTGGTAGAGACTGACAGATTCATGAAGATGAATGGGACTGGGGTAGTCGTAGTGGAAGAAGTTCATAGGACTGTGGTGGCAGCTGTAGACTGAGACGGCCCTGAGATAGATAGTGACCCCCTAGACCCAGTAGCGTGATCCCCGTTGTGTTGACGCTTGTGGGGTGTCTGGTCCTAGGTCTTGGCATTTATTCACAGCTGCACTTCACAACTAAAGTCGATCATGGGTCCTTCTGCTGTCCTCTGTAGGTTCGAACTTAGTCAGTTTCAGTCAATGCTAACGATTCCCAGATCGCAATAGTCTCTCCAGTGCTCAACGAGGTCTTTTTGTAACATAGTACCCTCAACTCTATCGCAAGGTTCCGGACATTATATATGTAGAGTACTAGCACGGTGCCGTGTGTAAAAATGCAGCAAGCGTTGCTGTCGGCCTTCAGTCAGTGCCCGAGGTCAATCAGCTCCCCTTTGCTTCGTTGGTCAGTCGCATCACTTCAATCGCAATTCTCTGAATGAGCTGGCAGTATGAGCACTTGAGAGTCAATGCATCATCTTGTCGATAGCGGACCATATGATCTTCATGTCTGCTTTGGTCCAGACTGACTTCACAGCAGGCCGGCGGGGATTGATGAATCACTCATAGAAAGAAATAATGCGCATGACATCTAATGAAATCTTTGACTGAAGACATGAAAGTACAATCAAGGAGACTACGGTTTGTGGTTGCCTAAAGTACAATATCCTGGTACCGATACGGATAGGTATGTCTACAGTATGAATAAGATGGAGCATTTTCGGTGAACCGAGAAATCGTGGTGGCTTCCAGTAATTATGGTACCGTAGCATTGGCCATTATGGTAGACTATGGTGGTAGGCCATTTAGATGAGTGGTAGTGGTAGCCATGGTAGTGGTAGCTATCTATGTCGGGTTTATCGGATTTAAGAGCGTGCAAATGGGGGTAACGTGCAGACTCGTCGTTCCGTGATTCCCTTACTGCGTATTTACCCCTAAGCTGATATTCTCAGTAGTTCATTTTAAAATTACAGTATCTGTTTGAACATATCTCCATCACAAACCACTTTGACACAATATCTATGGCATAGAAAATGCTCAACTCAATGTTGTGAGTAAACATGTACCTAATCTTTCTGTCGTCAAACTTGAGAATTGAGGAATTATGATACTATGTTAGACCTGCAGGAAAATTACCACTTCCACGTAAATACGAGGATCTAGACTTGGCGCCGTTTCCATCTTCGCTTGAGTATTGCGGCGCAAAGTTTGGGTCTCGGTCACCACCAACAATGGCACAGCGGATCCCGCCTCAACTCTGGAACTCTTCGGCTCACCAAGCCCAAGCCCCCAACCAACCAACAAGCGGTAGTGCGCCATAAAGTACATGCGCGGCGCAATCGGACAGCTGTCCTTGAGACAAACGAGATAAGCCGTCAATGTCTTTGTTCTCTTTCACAATTACCCTACCCCCATCCTCTACACCCTCTGCCTAGGTCGCAAGCGCACCTTTGGCGCCTTTCATGCTCTACATACCCCTTCGTCATCCTCCCCTCTGGCAGGGAAATGCATCCCGCGGCATTGTAAGGGTGGAAGTACTCAGAGCCTAGGTTGCAAGCTACGCAGCTGGGGCGAGTATCCAACATGCTTGGCAGAAGTCATAAATACTCGCGAGTCCCCTTTTTCCCTTCTTCTTTCTTTAGTTGTTAGTTCATCTAGCAACTGATCTATCTATTCTCGCAACTACGCATCTAGACCTCGTGATTGCATAGCTGCTACGCAGTTCCATTGAAAGAGGCCTTGCTACCTCACAGTTATGAACAAAAGATTTCAAGCTACCGTTGGCACTTTGATCGTAATCGTTATTCTGGCATTCACCTTTGACCCTCTGAATCTAGCCCGAAATCATCCATCCTCTTCCAAATCTTCTACATCCTCACTCACCCTCAACTCGCCATACGCTTTCGTCACCTTGCTCGCCTCAAATCCGAAACTCGACAACAAGACTGTGCCGGATGACGAGGATGAATACTTTGTCGGAACGCGAGTTCTGGCATACCAGCTATTGCACGCCCCGAGAACAGGCACCAACACCTCCATCCCTTTCGTCGTCCTCGCAACTCCGGACATACCTGAGTCAAAATTGGAGCGGCTGAGAAAAGATGGAGCAACAGTGAAAGTGATCGAAAGGATATCAGAATCATGGATGAAGCCAGGCCTAGAAAGATGGAGAGACATGATGTCTAAGCTCCGAATGCTCGAATTGACCCATTTTGAGAAAGTCCTCTTCATGGATGCAGATATGTACGTTGCGGAGCGCATGGACGGCATCTTCACCGACCCCACCACAGAGCCCCTCACACCAAAGCCAGAATTGGCAGTGGAAGACGAAGGCCCATTGCCCAGATCTTACATATTCTCCGCCCAGCAATACATGGAAGGACGCGTCCATCCCTACCCGCCGCCTGCCGGTGACTATTTCTCTGGCGGCTTCTTCCTCTGCCAGCCCAGCATCGAGATGTTCAACTACTATCTCACCATGACAAAAATCAAAGATCGCTTCAACTCCAACGATATGGAACAAGGATTGTTGAATTATGCGCATCGAAGAGCGGGGCCGATGCCGTGGACGGACATCTACTACAAATGGACTACGACGTGGCCGAGCATGAAGGAGTATGAAGCTGGGGCACACAGCTTGCACGAGAAATGGTGGGATGAGAAGATCCGCTTGGACCCGGATCTGAGGAAGCTGTGGTATATCGCTAGGGGCGAGATGGACGGCTATTACCGTGGCTCAGAGCAAGCCTTAGAGCTTTTATGAGGATGTTTCTCAGGGTCTCTTCCCTCCGACTGCCGAATTCGGAACTACGTACGAGGAGTTCCGCGCTATCTGGTGGTCTTCCATCAGTCGCTACATCGCGTTTGTATGCTTGCAGATCTTCAAATGCACCGGATTCATGGAAATATTACCCCGGAAATGTCAGATTTGGACTGACAGCAGAGCCAGCCTGGAGGACATACATCGCTTTCAACCACATGATTGCGCGGCAAATCCTGGCGTTTTTCCGATGGAGCCATATGATATCCTCTCCTGAGTCCAAAGCTAATGCCAATTTCCTGGGCATCTAAGGACACTTATCTGGCCACCGGCCTATGCAGCCCAGATTCGCGGACAAAGTGCAGGGTTCTCCCTTGCTCTACACCATCATCATTTGGACCAGCTAGGCAGAGACTGCATTCGATCTACTAACGCTGGCTCCCTGGCCTCTGGTCTGCGACTTCGTGGCTCTGCAAGATCGAGGAAAAAACAAGGGATTGGAATAAAGACGTTGGAGAAGGAACGATTGACGGCAATTGCTTTTGAAACCCCCCGCGGACGCCATAGTGGCGAATGTGCTCAAGCGTACACAGTATGATTCAACAGACTCCATGTACGCAATATAGGGTTCTGGTTGGTGCATGCATCCAGCCAGCAATGACCGGTATTTGCCTCCGAGATTACAAAATGTATGGGGAAATGATTCATCTATCCATTCTTACTGCTGCTTCTCTGCTGTTACCTCTTTGAAGTGTTCACGGTGCAGTGGCAAGTTGACATAGAGCATAGAAATATGCATGATGCGTGCTTTCTGTTCGTGGTCCGGGCTCGTTGAACAGCTCTTCCGGTAAGCCAATGGCTGATGCAGGTTCTTCCGTGACATTGCCAACACACTTTTCTTTATTGCATGTGATCTTTCCGTGTATTCCACTCTAGCACTCAATATCCAAGAGGCCACGTAATTTCCTTCAAAGCGTTTATGAACGCTCGGCAACTATAACGTTCACTTTTCTACAACCATCAACCCGACCTTCGATTCTGTACAGCTTCCGACAGCTGTCTTCTCCAAAAACATTTCCAAAGAGAACATACATGCTGTGCAATCAGACTGCTTAGTGAAAGCGTCTGGCCAACAACAAAAGGACACCAGAGGTAAGGCACACAACACCTCCACTCTCAGTCCCCGTACTCCTATTCCACATCTCTACCACACTCTTCCTTTGCCTTTCACCCTCTATCCATACACATGCGCACACCACACCTTACCCAACATCCTTCTGTCATCAACCCAGACAGACAACACCATCCCCAGCGCACCTCAAACTCTTCACTTACACTCCGCCTCTCCCAACAGACGCGTCGTCCAACTGCAAGAAAATGTCACAAGCACGTGCTGCTGCGCGTACAGTCAACGACATGAGCGAAGAGGACTACCGCCAGATGCGGAGACAATACAACGACCAACATCCGTACGCGAGTGAATTGAGCTTCGAGGAGTATTTGGAGGAAGCTGCCCGCGCCGGGACGGAACATGGCAGGATGACGGGCCGTGATGTCTCCGGTCTCCGTGGTTCTGGACATCGTTCCCATGAAGGCGGGCGTTCCAGCCACGATAGAGGCCTTGTCTCTCGTCCTCGTCCTCACGGGTCTGAGCACCGTTCTCAGGAAGGCGGCCGGTCCACTCACGATCGGAGCCTTGTTCCTCGTCCTAGTCCTCGCGAAGAAGCTGAGCGTTCCAACAACGATCGAACCCTCATCTCTCGTCCTCGTCCTCGCGAGGACGAAATGCACCACGCGACCGGTCCGTCACACGGCTCTGAAAGTCGATGCGGGACCGGTTGCCGTGACTGTGACGATTCACTCGATGGCGACTCCTTCGATGACGATCCCTTTGATGAGGCTTACTCCGACAATGATACTCTGGCTCACAGTCCTGGTACTAGCACTAGCCGCTTTTCTGCCGATCGCACTCTCCGAAGACATGGCACCGATCACTCTCGTGAGACAGATTCCCAATCCTCCACCTTCGCGAGCAATGTCGACGAGTTCGAGGATGATGACGACGACTACGACGATGATGCACGTGAAGTCATACGGCCCACTACTCGTCGTGGCCCCATCTCGCGTCCTCCACGTAGGGCGCAGTCTCCTCCACTACCGCCTCGTAGCGTGCAGCCTCCTCGCGTCACTTTCCCTATTCCGAGCGGCGGGAGGATACCACCCTCGCCGTTCACTTTTGCGCTGCCGGCGCAACCACCGCTTTCGGCTCGCTCTGCGCAGGCTGATGGTCGCACCGGTGCTGGCCATGGTGCTCCTCTCCGTGGCACCCAGCGCGGACCTCCCACGGCGGATGGTACCCCTTTGGACGAGACTTGTTATGATCCTCGAGGCGGCCCTCGTCCGGGTGATCGTCGCAGGCATTGAGAGTCTTCGTGACGCAGGGGGGTAGTGTTGGGAGATGGACTTGCGAAATTGGATGTGCGCAAATTTTCACTCAGGATAGGGCTGGGAAAGAAGGAGTTTCTGGCGAGATTGTCTTTAGGACATGACCTGAGACATTGCCTCGTTCTCTCTCTTGCTAGGTAAAGTAGGTGGAGCATAGAGGTTGATCTGGTAGACCTTTCGACAAGACGCATGAGTGTTCCATAAACAATACAATTCACTGTCTCGAAGCCGAATCATCTTAGATACTACCACTGCAGTAATGATCGATGTTGATGCCTTCAGTGTCCAGCGCAATAATAAACGTCGCAACTACAAATTTTCTCGCGTTCTCCGTTGGCCACATCTAAAGAAAGACCCAAGCCAGCTGTGTGAGAGAAGCTTCTTTTACACGCTCCTTTTGCTCTGTCAGACCACTATTGTTCGTTCATAGCATACATTTCTGTTTGATCGAAGCATGCAACAGCTCCACCATGGAATTAGGCAGTCAGGTAGATCTTACAAATCGGCAAAAGAGCGCACGCGTGGATCGACAATCACGCCATGTCGAGGTGCAAACCGACAAATAACATACCTGTGCTGCGCTTAGCTTGACAACAGATTATAACATCGTCAGTGCCTTCGCCCTTCTCAACAAGCTACCCAGAGCTCATGGGTTCATTAGCTGAAACATATATAGTAGGCGTCGCCACACCTCGAGGAGGATTTTCGAGTTTTGCAGAGTTTCATTTCATGCCATAATAGGTTCAACTCCTAATAGCGTTGTTACAATGGTGTTGTGGTTATTGTGTTGTTTCTTTTTGACTGCCATGGTGGGGTATTCATTCGTACACATTCCTTCCTCATGGTGAAGCGCAGGGATCATGCATTTTTACAATACACTCTCTTAACTCGTTGACGTCGTCAACACTGACTTGCCGCTTCAGTCTTTCGAGTGATGACGCACACTTGCTGACACAAGCATTTAGCACTATAAGATCTCAAATCGTGTCCAGAATTCTCTTCTTTGCAACCCTCTTCGTCAATCCAACATCTTCAGTCAACAGCCACCACCATTGTCTTCCATATCGAAGCCTATTCAACACCAAGTAAAGAGACCTTAGATTTTATCGAAATAGGCCCTAGTAAGTACCAGACATCCCTCAACTACAGCAGCATAGCACTAACCTTTGCCAGGGTCTTCATGATGTCTCAGCAACACCATAAACAAATTCGGCCCTTCATGGACAAAGCCACATTCGATCACGTCTCAGCAGTGTTATGGGGTTCCCACACCCTTGAATATCACACCAACTATATCAATCCGCGTACATGGTGGATCGATTCTGATATTCGCGAGGAAGCCCTCTACTTCGCAGATTTAGCCCGTAGGCTTCGTATAGGGGCTCCGCAAATATCGAGCATACCTGGGTATCATCACCCCAGTATCTTCCGTGACGAGGATTACCATCAATCTATTCATCGGCAAGGATATCCTGGATGTTGGCCGCTCGGAGACCTCCCTGCGGTGTCTCCTGCAGCGGATCCGTATGGTAGGATGACGTATCCAGGTTGGCCACCACATGCCAATAGGCCAGTGGATGTCAGCTTGGGTGGCTTTCCCCGTCAGCCCGAAAAACATTCGTTCATAAATGGCCCAGAGATGCCGAATCACCCTCAAGGGGCGCCCCGCGCTCCGATTTATCGTCGTCCCAGCATGGATTTCGTTCCTGGTGTTCCACATCCATTTGTTCCACCTGTGTTCCACAATGCTGCAAAGAACGATTTCGGGCCGGCTCCTCCACCGCTCGTTTTGTGGGGCACGAACGGGCCTGCCTACCAGCATACTACATGCGCCAACAAATCCGGCTACTCAAATACAGGATATTTGGGGTACGGCGGTAAATATCCATTCAACGCTCTGGCGACTGGGGAACTGCCTGACGAAGAGTTCGTTGCGCCTAGTACGGCCACCTGCTTCACCGGTGAACACCAATATGCCAATTTTGCTGAAGTTAGAGAGAAGAGTACGGGGATGGCGGGATCTTCAGAGGCGTTATCGGCTCCTGATGTAAAGAGTCTTTCCATTCCTCTTACAAGTGGTCAGGCCTCCCGGTTTCATGCCGAGGTGCCTTTACATCCGAAGGTCCAGGTGCCGACAGTAGCTCGCGAGGGAAGCTACTTTCGCACTACTACGGTCGAAGATCACCCTGAGGATAGCTCTGATGAGGGTTATGTCAAACTTTACACGTCATCGACGGTGGAGGAGACCAACAACGAAGCAGGCTTCGATGAGAGCATGAAAGATTGGTTCTGGTTCGGTGAACAAGCCGCCTGAGAGATATGACGAGGCTCGTGGACTAAAAGCTGACGGGGCGAAGACAACGATGACGCACTTCTAGCATTTGATAGATTCTGCTGCTATGGCATTCACTAACAGCAGAAGATCACCATAAGGCACTTCAGTAAGCAAAAAATGGCCACTCAAGGCTGCTAGTGAAATCTGTGTTTGTTCAAATACGTACCGCCTGTTGCGATCACGCAACGGGATAATTCCAAACATTCTACACAAATGAATTGTTCTCAATCGTAAGTGCCTTCACCAATGCTGGATTTTGGTCGTCGGGCGATCATTCCTGCAGAGTAAATCAGATCAAGATGCCAACGCCTCAAGAAGGCATCTTCTCTGCTCCGACGGAGCGTGGCCTTCACAAACCTTTCGGAAAGCCTTGTTTTCGTACAAACAAACGGACGAGAAGACGAACAAGTATAAATGACCAAGCCCCCCCCCACAGAAATGTCATGTCTCTTCAGTCTTTCTCCTTCACCACCTTCTCTCATACCAATCTCCTTGGGAAACAATCACCAGAGTCCGACAACAATGACGAAAAACAACAAAAGCGTCGCAGCCGCCAAAGCGAGCATAAACCTCCAGAAAGTGCTCCGAAAATTCCCCTCTCCGCCCAAGAAGGACGGCACACCGGATAAGGAAAACATTATGGCGAAAAAAGACAAAGCGCGTATCAAGGAGGCAATGGACATAGCGGAGGCAAAGGACAGAGCAGACGCTCAAGCCAGCGCTAGTTCAAGCGGGGGTAAGAAAAGGTAGAAGGAAGGATCTTGGGGAGAAGATTGGGGACAGAGGAGGAGGTGATGAGCGTTCGAATTTGAGGCGGTGTGGTAAACAGGTTGCGGATAGAGTCAATCCGGGAGAAGAGCGATCATGCTTACCGCTTGATCATAACCTGTCTTTCATAGCCAATATTGCAGCCGCTAGAATCAAGCATATCCTCGATTGCCAAACACTTTAGGCGGCAGACCGTTGGGCCGTTTCAGGCCGAAGATCTCTGAGTCCAGGCAACACTCAGGGATAGGGTTGGTTCCTTGATTTTGTGGACTTTCCAAGTCTTACGAAGGTGGCCCTTCAGTAGATGAAAGAATAAGATCACAGGTTGGAGATGGGCTGAATGGCCATAGAACTTGCCGCTCGGGCCTGAAAGCAACGATTTGTCTCCTCCGGGTCAGTGATAGCGTATCCTCATTGTGCGTGATAGAAACCCCATTCCATAGCTGCACAACCACCGCTAGGAGCATGACCGCCATTGAAAGCGGTCACTGCCTAATGGATACCCCCAAGAATTCTTGGAGCAGCCACTAAGGTTATGCAGCCAGCTCTCAATACTAAGGTAGTCTCAATGCAACGCTATTCATCACGTGACTATGCAATGCCACGCACGAGCGAATGCCAAGACGGTATCCTTAGTTTCCATCCTTCCTTCCTTCCTTCCTTCCGACCGAGCCCAGGACCCTTTGTAAGCAGTCGAGTTATACCTTCAGAATCGAATTCGATCATTCAAAGTTCCACGGTTGTTGACTTCTATCGTGGATATGCCCGTCGACCGGGTAAAATGTCACTAAAGCGAGAGCAGCTAAAGTACCGCCCTTGCTTGCTATTGGTTAGTTCTATTGGGCAGTTCTGCCGCTCAATGTTGCAACGCGGGATCCTGCAGCAGGAGCCTTTGGTTTCAACGCGTCCACTAGCAAAGGGGCTGAGATCGCCAGCGCCTCCTCGGACCACATGACGGGATTGGCCGTCCCGCATGGAAGAAGTTAGAAGAATTGACGGATAATTCAGGTACCGTGCCGTCGATGTGCAGACGCTCTGGTCTATTGCTTTGATGCGAACGCAGTTTTGGTTGCTTCCGATCTTCTGCCGCGAACAATCCATTTCGATTCCTCTTTTATAAAAGAGATGGTTATGCTTTGCTTTGAAACGAGCTGGCAGTCTGCATCTCTAAATACACACCTGGTCATTGGGCTCCAAATATGTTAGTATTGGAAGCACTTGTTACCATGAGCGGCCGGGCACGATGCTCGACCAGTCCCTCGGGACAGTAAACCAGGTGATCTTCCTCTTCACCACCTTCTCAATCTGTAGGTGCATCGGCTTGAGAAGTCCCTTCTCAATCCTGTTTTGACGGATACCCCTTCTTTTTCCCGTAGTCCTTCCTTTTTGTTTCAAGTCTCCCCACAACAATTCTCCAGAAACCTCATTAGCGAATATTTTAGAGCCCTACAGCAAATTCTCTCCAACTTCCGTGTCAAGGTTCTCCAGTAGTGATTCCACACTTTGTTGTGACCCCAATCCAAATCACGGTATGTTGTATCTAGGACCGCTTCACTCTTGTTATTAAGGCTCTGCATTGCGTCTGCACAACCCTTCCATCTAAGCTCTTCCATCGACCCCCTCTGTCATTATTCGACACGACCATACTACCGACAGTCAGGTACCCTATCTTAACAAGATGGCTAGACCATGTCCCCCAATGCCTGCACGAGGGCTTTCAGACATGAGCTCGTCATCAGGGCCCAGCTTCCACACTGCGCAGGAGAACCGCCGAGGCATGTTCCCAGGAATGGGGGCACGGGTTTCGGACGCCATAGACTCCAAGCCAGCGAGACGTTCACGAAGTGGACTCTGAGCAATCGTTGAAGCTGCTCGTCGTGATACAGATTCCGAGTCATCAAGATACCCATCCAGGAGACACCCAGGAATACTCACACGTGCATCTGACACCAGCTAATCCGACTCAGGGTATGGTTCTGGAGGTGAACGGTCGAACTCACCCCATGTTGGCCTCTCGTACTGCAACTTAGAGCCGCGGGACTCAATCAGTAATCGAGACTCCAGTATCTCTGACAACGGTTACATCCCGTGCAATCGTTCTCCCCTCGGGTACTCCAGCACACATGGTCGCTATGCAGAAGATCCGTACTCTGATCCCAGACTCGGTGCATACGTTATGGCAGCTGGACCAGATGTATGTACGGAGCCTAGGCATCTTGTGCGAGTGGTTTATATACAGATGAGTCTTTGCATCAGACACTAGAAGCACGTCGCGGCCACAGGGTAGATCGCAGAGATCAAGACCACTCCTCTAGCTCTTCTGATTCCTACTCTGGAGAGCCCAGGACTCCACGAAATCAATGATGATATTGGCATTAGCTCCGGTGATGAAAATTACGAGGACGACTGCGTTGACGAGTACGTTGACGACTGTGAGGAACCCTTCACTTCACGGGCCTATAGTGGGCGTAGGATGAATCCTCGCTATGAAAATTATGAACACGAGGATGGTCTTCGCGATGGCCATCGCCGGAACTGGGGGAGATCCGACGATCAACAAACTTACAATGACACCTCTGATGAAAGGCAAGTGTTCTGGCCCCGGAGGTGGACGGCCACGGGAGAGTAGCTCGTCCTGTTTTTTATCCCACTAGACTTATAAAAATCGCTCATAGACCGCTGCGACTTTCCTTTTTTCAAGCTCCCACGGGGCCCATCGGGGAAAGTTGTAGCGTCTTTTCCTTGACGTTTGGGCTGCATGAGCAACAACGTCTCCAGGATTCCGTATCAGTGAATCTGCTCTTTGCGCATGACAGTTCAAACGAAAATTCCCTCAAGCTTGATCTTCAGGATCTGAATCATGGCTGAGACCACCTCCATGAGTCTCTCGGCTAGGACAACGCCCAGCCACCCCTGAAACTCTCTCGTCTCAGGTACCCCAGTCACCATCGCGCGCCTGCTGCAAAAGTCTACCCCGCTTCCTCTTCAGGTGGCAAAGACTGACTGCTCCTCCTCAAGGCGTGCTCGCTTTTGATGGAAATGATTGGCTCCTGCCTCTCGAGGCGAATGCTCTTTAACACAAAAATCACCGCCTTCCCCTTCCCGCCACCCTCGGTGTGTTATCAGCTCGTTAAATCATTCTTAGCTTGGTGTATACTATAAAGCTTCATCATCCCCAAAGCTGCTTTCTTCCTTCCCTACTATAACCCTTCCAGACCTCCTCGGAGACCTGAAAGGCAAACATTTTCCTCTTCTTTATCTCCTCCCATCCGCCTCTCTCCTCGCCTACTCTGTCACAAATACACCAAGAATACCAGCCAAAAAATTGGGCACCTTATACCAAAATGACCAAAAACTACCCTTCCTCCAGCGAAACCCTACGCGATCCACACCCACACCGGTCGCGCGCACAACGATTTGGCTCAGAGTCAGACGAGACGTCCAACTCCGCTGACAGCAACGCCCACGTCACGAGAGACGACGTGACCCACAATTACCCCTTCCTCCGCAATCCACGCCGCTCGCACGCACAACGATCTCGCTCAGACGACAATCCCAACGCCTCTAACCGCAACCCTCGCCTCCCGAGAGGCGACGCCTCAGACGGTTCATCTGAAGAAGGACTCGGAGAGTTCGTCACGTCGCGCGACCGCGAGTCTGATTCTGACGCCACTTCGAGCGATCGCGCTCATGCAAGCGCGTCGTCTCGGCATAGCAATCGAGGGGGAAGTTCGAGGAGGGCTGATGAGGCGACGTTTGAGGACTCGAGGGCGCGACAGGCTCGTCGTGATGTGTTGATGAGTAGGCTGCAGGTACGGGTATCTTTACATTACCTGCTATTTCGTCAACGTCACTGGTTTACATACTGACGGTGTATACTCGGATAGCGAAGGGAAGACGCAGAGCGACAAGCGCGGTACGCCGAAATGGACCGCAACGAGCGTCTACACCATGAAATCGATCAAGATTGTCGAGCATATCGCTTGTCGCTGAGCAGGGACCGTCGCGAGGACGCACACGGCTCTTCCGCATCCTCTGACACCAACTCCGATGAACCCATGGCCCGCCAAGAGTACCAAGGCCGTGGCATCGGTGCTCGCGGAGAGACGATTACGATGACAGAGATCCGGGTCCTTCCACTCCGCGAGGCTATGCAACTCGTGCCATTAGCGCTCGCCGTGAGGAGTACGAGGACGATTCTGATGGTCCCTTCCGCGCCGCAGGGTTATGGTGGTCGGAGCGGCGTTCGCCGGGCATAGGATGAGGACGAGGATTAGTCTGGCCGGAAAAGTGGACGGAGTTAGGGGGTTGGGAGGAAATGATGGGGGAATTCGTTGACCTTGGAGGAACATGATTGTTCAGCTACTTGCGACTCTTGCCTCACCACCAGTTTCCATTAAAATCGCTTGCGTAATATCTTGAGTAGTAATAATGACCTTCAGAATACCCTGAACAGGACACCCTGCAGTAATGATTTAGTACTTATGCATAGCAAATAGGATGAAAGCTCTGTAAGCTGCACCCTCGGAACCGAACCAAGAGTAGCCAATAAAACCACGAGCGTGCTAGTCGTGCTTACTTCGATCATTCGGCCGGGATGGTGAAGATCGATATGCAGGGGGTGTTAGAGTATGCTCCCAAAGTCTCTTCCGTGCACTCAGAGACCTAAACCCTTTGGCATTAGTGGCAGGAATCGCCTGCGATTTGCAGCCGGTAGGAAGACATGACGCAGCACGTAGAGTAGCGCCAACAAACCCGATGCGTTGTCCACGAGCGAGACGTAACGCGTTCGTGTTGCGGACGAAAGCTGGGAACGTGACCAGTAAGCTGCAGCTGCTATTGCATAACACTTTCCCGCTTCAGGTGGCAACGGTGGGCTGAGACGATTGCGTTTCAACACACACTTAAGCGCCTTCCTCTTTCGACATCAGCTCGTGACATTTCCCCCCACTTGCTGAATCCCATAAAAGACCATATTCCGATAGATTCCTTTCTCTTTTCTACAAAAACCCACTGTTACGAATTTTTTCAAGACTTCTTGCTCCCCAACAAAACTTTCTGACTTACATCTATCTTCTCCCACTTCAACCTTTGTAAGTCATCATCCACAAAGCATGGATCGTCGCAGACCTCGTCCCCGAGGAGAACCTCCGGGTCGACACGGCGACGGCAGCAACCACCTGAGTGACGCCGAGGACTCTGTGATCCTGCGAAAGCAAAATCTCCGGCGCCGATCGGACCGTGAAAGAGATGACGAATTTATGGACAACGTTGGAAGCTGGGGGCCTGATCCCGCGCGTGACTTGATGTACTATGGCCAACGCTCCACGAGAGGCGGCCCTCAAGGTAGACGGGGCGCAGTATCTTACGACAGAAATGACTTCATGGACGATATGGATTCGTTTGGTCCACGTGGAGGTTGTGCGGGAAACAAAATGGCTCGCCATATGGACGCTATATTGGCCGAGATGGAATCGACTGAACGTGAAGGTCGTACAGGAGCCAGAGACATTGACGACCACTTCAATACTCTCATCATGGATGACCTTCCAACACTCAGAAAGAGTCGCGCCTACATGAGGGAAACTTTGAAAACGCTCAGAAGTGGCGAAGAGCGCAGAAGGCTCAGAGACAAACTTGGACATGATCACTGAAGATATCGCCAGACTGGAGTCCGAGCAACGCGAAAGTGGCAGCAAACCTCGCGGAATGGGAGCCTCCATGCAGAGCATGGACTCAAATCCACGTGGAGGTCGCGCAGGAGGCCAAAGCATGTCCTACCTTGACAAACCTGACCTTGCGACGCTCAGACAGAGTCACGTCGAGACTAAGGAGAGTCTGCGACGTTTGAGTAAGAATGGAACTGGCAAACAGCGCAGAAACCTCGAACAGGGTTTGGTCATGATCGAAGAGGATATTGCCAGAATCGAGTACCAGCATCGCGAAAGCAACAAGATGGCTCGGGGAATAGGAGCGCAAACGCGTCGCCGGGGCCAAGAAGATTATTCTGACGAAGAGTCTGACTTTCAGCCACGCGGATCTCGTCGTGGCTATCGTGAGTCCGCGGCAGGACGTCGTGGCAATTCTGGCCGCTGATTAGACTGATGAGAAGGTAGGAGGCCACAATATGCTGTTGGCTACATTCGCTAACCTTCTGTCAGCCGATGCATCTTGAGGAGTGGTGTGAATGGAGAACGGAGTGACTTGATTCATGTTGATGGCCTTTGATCAAGGCGGTACGGTCATTACCTATTGCGGGGTTGTGGAAGGTGTACTGCCATTCTTTTTATCTTGCGCTCCTTACCATGCGGTGTCATGCGAAGCTCTTGCATCAACCCTCAGAAAAGGGCCCCGTGATAGAACACATGAGCTAGAATTATGGCAATAGTAGCATGGTAGATACCTATTGAAAAGGATTGGCTTACAGGTCTTGAAGCGGGCAAATTACAAAATCATACCAAACTATGAGATTCTTACAAATTCATACCCCGCCTTACATTTCCATACCTCTCACCGAAAAAATGGGTATGAATTTGTAAGTTACCATTTCTTGGGGTATAAAAATGTAAGATACCACCAACTTGTCGATGTAGTTATCCCTATGTCTATAAACCATTAGAAGGGTATAATTAGGGTGTTCTAGGCTACCTACCCCAACTGTTAGCAACCCGAATTACCGCTAGGCTAAAAAGTTATACCCGAGGGTATCTATACTTCACGCTATCGACACCCCTATGTGACTCTTTATAGGGCCCCGCAGGGCCCCCGAAGGAATAATTTCTAACACCAACCCGCCTCGAAACCTTATCCCAAGACCCTACCCCTATTTAATGCTAACGCTACCCGCGAGAAAAAGATAGCAATTCCAAGTGGGCTTACAGCTCGGCAGGGGTGAAAAAAGTTCGGCAGGGGTGAGTAGATGCTAAATATATGCATCACCTCTCGTCCGAGGTGAAACAAATATACTCAGCATATGCCAGCACCTCATCGGGGGTGAAGAAAATTAAATTTAATTCAGCGATGTTAGCCCGCGCGGGGTAACTCATCTATAAATTTAAAATTTTCTCTTTTATCTATCGCAAAATTTTATTCTTATTTATATCTAATATATATTATAATATCTAATATATTTACTTAATAAGTTTATAATATTATTATAGCGAAAATTATCTAATAATTAAATAATATTAAAGTATTTATACTTTATATATATATTATATTTATATTATATATATAATATATATACTAATAAGTAATTTAGCTTTATTTATTAGATTCTTCTAATAGAAATAATAATAAATAAGATAACTTAAAAGTAAAGAGCTTAGAGTTTACTATTTCTCTCTTTATAAGCTTAATTTTTATAATAAGATCTATATTATATTAATATTTATATATATTAATTATATATAGAATATAATTAAAAAGATAGATATTATTATTAATTAAAGTAACTAGCGTAAAGTAATAGTTAATAAAATTTAAGATTATATTATTTTATCTAAGTATCTTGAAATAAATGTAGATAAAATTCTTTATTTTATATATATTAAATCGAAGTTTAATAGAGAAAATTATAAGAGTATTTAAGAGATAATTTATTAATATATATTTATAATAAACTCTATATATATTTAATCTAAATATATTTTAGCTAATTAAGATTAAATATAGTTTAATTATTTAGAGATTAATATAATTTATTCTTAAATAAAGTCTATTAAGATATAATTTTTAATTAAAAATAATAAAAAGAATAAAAAGAAAGCGATATAAAAGTAAGCGTTTAAATATAGTAGAATTAAATATTATTAATATATTTATCGAGATGTAATTATTTTATATTAAGCGTATAATTAAATTAATATTATAGATATTAATAATCTTCGATAAAGATTTAATTCTTTATTTTACTCTTATTTAGTCGAGGAATATCTTAAAATAAAAATCGAGTATTAATATAATACGTTTCTTTATAGACTAGTAGATATAAGATATATATTATAGAAGTTTATAATCGAATATTATAACGTATTAAGATTAATTATTTATAATATTTAAGCGAAATAATATAAGTATATATAGAATAGATATTAAGTATATACTTATAATCTATAAATTATCTTTATTAATTATTTATAGAATAATAACTTAAAGTTATAATATCGAGTAAGATATTTATTATCTACGACTATATATATAAATCTTAATTATCTATAAGAACTTATTTAATTTAAATTATAAATCTTTATAAGAGAATTATATTTATATAGATTATTTAATATAATAATATAAATAATATAATAAGTAAATATCTTATTATTCTAATTCTCTATTTAGTATATATTAAGTTTATATAATATTTAATTATTCTTAAAAATAAGATAAGATAGAGTTACTTAGCTATAATATATAATTTAATCTCTATATTTTAGATAATTAAGATCGCTTTTTATTTTTTATATTAGTTTTATGTGGAGTATATTCTTATTATTTATTATATTTAATTAAGCTTTCTAGCGCTATCGCGAATAACGTTATTAAGACTATTAAAAAATATAATTTATTAAATCTAATTATATGTAAACTAAATATATATTAAATAAGCGCTATATATATATTAATTATTCTTAAAATACTTTATTATTTTCTTATTTCTTACGAGTCTTAAAGAGAAATATAATAAAGATTTGTTATAAGCGATTTATTAAAATCTAAATATCGAAGATTAAGTTTCTACTTTAATTTAAAAATAGAGATTATTAAAATATAAATTTAATATAGCTTTAATAGATATGTAGCTTATAATAAATATATATTACTTCTTTAAACTTTATTTTAACTTTATAAATACTTTAATAGAAATTTAATATAAATATATTTTCGATTAATTAAAAGATAGTAAAGATTAATAAATTTAATTAATTATTTACTTTAATAGAGAGTATTATATAATTATATACTATATATATATATAAACTAAGAGCCTTTTAATATATTTAATATATAAAAATAAATCTAACTTTTAAAATAATATAAGAAAAGATATAGATTTTTTCGCTTATAAAATAAAATGCGGATATTAATCGTAGATATAGCTTATACTTTATTTATAATTAATATATACTAATTATAAATAGAAATTAATATCTATTATTATATTTTTATAAATCTCAAAATATATATTACTTATTATAAAATATTTATAAAGATATTTAAAGTATTTAAAAAAGTATCTTAAAGATTAATTAATTTTATTTATATTATTATAAATTAAGACTTCGATATTATAATAATAAATATAAATAAAAAATAAATTAAGAGTTAAGTATAACGTATTTTTTATTTAGATATAGTATATATTAACTTATATAATATAGAATTTAAAATTTTTTTATATAATCTAGATTTAAAATTATAATAAAATAAGTATCTTTAATATATATTAATTTTCTATTAAATATATATTAAATATAATTTTATTAAGAAATTTTTTAAATATCTAGCTCGCTTTATAATTAATAAAATTTAAAATATAATAAATATAGAAGATTTAATAGAGAAGATAAATAGTATATATATAATTTATCTCGAGCTTAAATTATAAATTAATAATAAAAGAGTATTATAAATTCTTATAGAATTTACTTTAGAAAATTCTAAAGTAAAAGTTAAATAATAATATTATACTCAAAAAAATATAGAAATTAAAGAGAGTAGTTATTTTAATAATAATAACTTTATTGATTATTAATTATTTAAACTTACTATCTATCTTTGATAAATTATATATTAAATATATATTAAAAATATTAATAATTATAGATTAAAAAATTATATATAAGAGATATTTATTAAAAAGAATATAATAAAATAGTAAGAAATTAATTAAATCTAAAGAAATAATAGCGAAATTATATAAATAATCATATTTATAATAAAGAAAGATAAGATTAATTTATTTTTTTAATTTAGTATATACTTTATATATAATTTATCTAATAATAATCTTTTTATCTTAGATTGTAGAAATTAATAATAAATCGCTTAATGAATTTAAAATCTAAGTCTTTTATAAAATTCTAAAAACTTTTATAATAGTTTAAATTTAATTATTAATATTAATTATAATTAATATAAATTTAGCGTAAACTTAGCTAATACTTAATCTATTAAAATTATTTTATCTCTTTAATTAATCTTAATAAGAAATCGCGTAATCTTAACTTCTTATTAAGCGTATATTATTATCGCTATCTTTATTATAAGAAAATATATCTAGTAATAAAAATCGAAGATATATATATACGCCTTCGACTTAGATAATTAATAATAAGATATATATATAGTATATATAGATTAAGCGTTAAAGGATTATTAAATTTAAGTGATAAAGAAAAGAATATAAGCTAGATTATAAGCTATAGAATCTAAAGATTTAAAATATAATTTATATAATTAATATAAAATTAGCGTATATTTAATATTAGTTAATTATTTTATCTAAGACTATAACTTAATTTATCTTTATTATGTAAGATTAAGAAAGTATTACTTTAAAATACGCTTAGTATAATTCTAATAGACTTATCTTAGAAATCTTCTATCGAATTCTTCTACTTATTAAATTTAAATAATTATCGAGAATAAGTATTCTTATTAGAAATTTATTTAGATATTATTAATTACTAATTTTTAAATATTTATTAATATTCTTAAAATTTCTAATAGTTTTCTAATAATATAAGAAGAGAATAAAATATATATTATATTTTATAACGAAGAAGATTATTAAGCTTTCGTTTAAGCTCGAGAATCTAAAAAATAATAATTATTTATATATTAGAAAAGTTAGATAAATATAAATATAAAATATAAAATTAATATATATAAGATATAAGTCGAGCTTAGCTAAAAATAATAGCTATTTTATATCTTAATATTAAAAATTAATTAGATATAAAAATTAATTATTTATAGTAGAGATATATATTAAATATAAGTAAGTAATAAATTTTATTTAATATATATTAGTCGATTTTTGTTGAATAGTAATATTATTTAATATATATTAAATTAAAGTCTAATATAAGAAAATAGTGAATATTAAGTATCTTAATATAATATCTTAATATAAAGATAGAGAATAAGCTATATATATATTAGAATAAAAAAAAAAGATAAATAATTATATATAAAGACGCTATTTAATAAAAGTTAGATTTATATTAGATAGTATATATTAAATAAAAGCTTTATATATATATAAGATAGATATATAATATCTTAATATTATTAATAGTATATACTTTATTTAAGCAATAAGAAATAAGATAAGAGAAGTAATAGAGTTCTAATCTTAGCGTTAGCGATATATATACTAAATATATATCTAATTTTACTTATTAGATAATCCTTTAGACTTCTTAACTATTAATATATATTAGATATATATTAAATATAAAATAAGCGTATTTATAATAATAAGTATTTTTATAAGAATTTAAGATAGATAACTTCGAATAATAGCGATAAGAAGGGAAGTTATTACGCTAAATATATAATTAGTATATATAAAGTATAAAGATTATATATACTTATTTTACGCTTACGCGTAGACTCGAAAATTTTATAAGAAATTAATTAAGAATCTCTTATTAGTATATACTCGATATAAGCTAAATATAATTAAATATTAATTATAAAATCGTTTAAAAGAATAAAAGTAGATTTAATAAATACTAAGTTTATATTATATTTAAAATTTAATAAATTAGATAAGTTCTTAAATTAAATATAAGTATTTATAAATAGATAATAATATATAATAAGCTTATATTTAATATATACTCTATTTATATAATAATAAAATCGAGTTTTATAGATTATAATAAAGTTAAAATTAATATATCTACTTAGCGTTAACTTAATATATATAATATATATACTCTAATTTATACGATAACCTCTATATTAATTATATATCTATTTAAAAGAGTTATTTATAAATTTAACTTTATAAGATATTAGTTTTATATATATTTAATATATATTTAATATATTTAAACTTAATTAGATAGATTTAATTATATTAATTTTTAAAGAGAATATAAAGCTTAAAAGCGCTATTAAATATAAGTTTAATATATACTTTATATTTATATAACTTACTTCTTACTAGTAATAGTTTTTGCTAAAATAATATTATATTAAGTTAAATTAATAATTAAATATTATTAATATATATTTAATTTAAATTAAATCTTAATATTTATTAGCTTTATAATATTTATTATAAATATATTAATAAAGCTATTAATAAATAAGCTTAGATTATATATATACTTAGTATATTTCTTATTTATTAAAGAGCTATTATCTATAAATATTAAATATAATCTTATATAATTACACTTTATTAATTATAATATAATAGCTATATATTGTTAATATATATTTAAAATATATAAAATATAATAATAATTAATACTTTATTGTTAATAATTAAAAGAGTCTCTTTAAGATTAAATACTTTTATTAATATATATTTAATATATATTTAATAAAAGATTAAGATATATAAATATATATTTTTAATTATAATTATCTAATTATTTATATATATTTAATATAAGTATATTATAAAGATATTTTAAATTTATTATTATGATTATTTATAGTAATATTAATAACGTAAGCTAACTATTAATTTAATATATATTCTTTATTCTTTTAATATATATATAACTTATAAGATAAAATTTAAGTAGTATTTATATTAATTATTAACTCTATTATATATATTTAATATAATATTTACTAATATTAAGTATATACTTATTATAATAATATTTAAATATAAAGAGATTAATTATATTAATAATCTAGAGATTATTATAAATTACTATTTATATAAATAATATATTTAATATATATATAGTATTTAATAATAAGAAGATAAGATAGCGTAATTTATAATATATATATTAAGTATATATAAAATATATATTAAAAAGAATATATTAAAATATTAGAAATCTAGAAAGTAAATATAAAAAATATATTAACGCTAGATAGATATAATATATATATATATATAGCTTAATAAAGCTTAATATATACGCGAAGCTAAGAATATATATTACTAATATTAAATATATATAATATTTTAATAATTATAATATAAACTTAAATATCTATAAATCTTCTTTTCTTTACTATCGTAATATTAAGTATTACTTATTTATATTAATAATAATAATTAGATATAATTAAAAACAAAGTTTTCTATTTATTATAAATATTTATTTATTAAATATATATTCTATTAATTTTCTATTAAGTAAAGATTTACTTAAAGATTAAAGCTTACTAATATATACTTAATATATACTTCACTTTTATTATATAATATTAATTTCTTAAATTTATAATCTCTTAATTTTAATAGTTTTAAAATTTATTACGCGCTTATTTTTAGTATAATTTTATTATATAATTAATATATATATTATTTTAAATATTATTTAATAATAAAGTCTATAATAGAAAGTAGATTATAAAGACTGAGGTATATATATAGTATATACCTATATCCCCCTCTAAAGTGCCGATATCATTTTGAACCCGGCCCGAGTTCATCCGGGGTGAAACGGATACGTTCAGCATATGCGAAGAGTTCATCCGGGGTGAAGTGAGCATATGCTGAAGCTTCACCCCTGCCGAACTTTTTTTCACCCCTGCCGAGCTGCAGCCCGATTCCAAGTCACTACGATAGCTTACAAAATCATACCCCTATAGATTGGTAACTTACAAAGTTATACCCCTGTTAATGGTATCTTACAAATTCATACCTAAAAATTTAAGAATCCCATAGTTTGGGGTATGATATTGTAATTTACCCGTCTTGAAGCATTAGCCATCACCTGATAACCTTGTATGAGAGGAAGCCTTTGCCGGCATTATGGCTGTAGGTGTCATGGACTGGGATAAGGTCTGAATGATATGATCCACAGTGTGAATGGAATAACAGCTATGAAGGTCTAAGTAAGTGCTGTGAAGGCGTTTATGTAGGTAGGGCCAAGCCACGCTAGGCCAAGTAGGCCGTGCAGTGTTGAGAGGCCTGGAACCGTGACAGTAGGAGGTAGGTTCATAATAGACACTTAATGGAAATGATAGACTCACAGGTCCTAAAGCATTAGCTATCATCCGACGGTCATGCTGCTAGCTTTGTCCTCGGCTTGGTCTCGTAATTTTGGCTGAGGGTGACCGGCCTTGTTTCCTATACCTTATCCTTCATGCGTCATCACCCCTTGGTCTTAACACATTCGCCACTCAAGGTCGCGCTTGGAGCTTAACATATTCTCCTCTTAAGGTCGCATATAAAGAAATTCATCTGCCCGAACATTCCATCGTTTCTACATGTTCTTCTCTGCAATTTTGTCCCTTGACTCTTTCCAACGAAAAGGCCTTCTCACACCTAAAAATTACACTGCTGTATCCCTCCTCTTCGTCTGCCTCATCCAGAAATCAATCACGGTAAGTGAGCCTCTCATCGGCTCTTCTGACTTGGGTGCAGCTTTTCTTGTCAGCATCAGCCTACCATTTCCAACCTGTCATCAATGAGAGATACTAAGAACAACTAGGTGACGAAGCGTGTTTCAAGATGGTACGACCTCAAGATCGCTCGAAAGCCTACGGTCAAAGAGCCCATGGGCACGAACCGGACAGACGTTCGACAGGAGGTGGGCCCCACCAAGGGTCACGAAGTGGTTCTGACATGACAAGGCGGAAAATCCGTGAGATCGACGAAGAAGGTATGGACGATTTTGTCGACGATTTTGAAGAGATGGGCATGGACGCACGCAGAAATTCCACATCAGGCGGACCTCAAGGCAGACGAGGTACCGGACGCCGTTTCTTTTATGATATGGACGGTCTCGACGAAGAGGATAGTTATCCCCGTAGAGCATCGACACGAGTTGGACCCCAGGAGAGACGTGACACAAGACGTCGTCACTTGGATGACATGGACGTTTTCGACGAAGAGGAGACCAATCCCCGTAGACCATCGGCAGGAGGCGGACCCCAGGGGAAACGAGACATAAAACCTCGTCACTTGGACAACATGGACGGTTTCGAAGGAGAGGATATTTATCCCCGTAGACCATCGGCACGAGGCGGAGCCCAGGGGATACGAGGCGCCGGACCGAGATACATGGACGAAATTTCTACCGATATGGTCCCATACGTAGCAGGAAGCGGTTATGGATCGAAGGCTCAAACTGCAAAGCCCCCAACTGCCAAATCAAAGCCGTCTCTCGACAAACTTGAAGCTGAGCTTGATGTAGTCGAAATGGAACAAGAACGGCTCGGGGACAAGATTATGCAAATCAAGATGGAGATTTACAAAATCGATCCCGAATCGGAAAGAGTCGACGACAGTGACAGGTCTTTCCTGCACCTGCCCTCCAAAGGAAATCGCAATCATGAGGAGCGCGGACATCGCCACGACCGCCGAGGTCCTGCACCTGTACGTGGTGGATACCCGGACCGTGGTGCAGCTCGTCATCGAGAGCACGATCAGAGATCTGGTAAAGAGGTATGACTTTACAAAATCTTGTTTGATGGACTTGCTGACCTGTCATCATCTAGACGCTCGCCCGTGCGCAGGTTTGCACCGATTTTGTAGATGCACCCTGTTACCCTCTAAACATTCGATGGATCGAGAACCCGGAAATACCAGGTCTTGTACATTCTTCTTGCGAGATAGGACCTGAACCTGTATAGGATCTAAAGCTCTTGCGACCGCTGAGATAGATGGAATACGTATATAACAATAGCCCACATCCCTTAACATAAATCCTTATCCATGAATCATGATACTGGCTTTAAGTCTGCTCGTACTTGAGCACCGAGTGGGGTCCAGCCGCTGTGACGGTTGGTGACCCTTGGTATGCAAGTGGTTGAGGCGACATGGTGCTCTCCGGGAGAGATTTCCATTTTCGAAGTGTTACGGCCACTTTGCCAGCCCTCCCATCACAATTCCCAACATTCTTACAGATCCATCTTCTCGCAACAGTGGGACTGTGGGTTAGTGGGTCCATTATGAGGCCATAGCGTTGGTGGTTGTTTGATCAACCGTTTCATCAATATGCGATATGCGATAGTAGGGAGACAGGTGGCCATGGCGAGTACTATTTGTGTGGCCACTGCACCTGTAGTGGGCTCTTCATTCGAATTGTTCTCTTTCAGAGCCATATCATTATTCTTCTTTTCGTAGTTGAGTCTATACACATTAGCCTTTATTCAACTACCACAAACACACTCCATACTCTTACATACTTCATAATGGCTCCCGCTGCTACTACCAGGTCCAAGAACGCGGCCAAACGAGTCACCCCCGCCTCCAAGGTCACCAAAAAAGACCTCCAAGGCGGCCAACAAGGCCCCTAAGGCCAAGAAGGCCACCAAAGCCAAAACACCTCCCCCGCGAAGAGATCGTCGTACACGAAACGTCATCGAGTACCATTAGCCCGGACGAGATCGAAGAAACGCCCCCATCTACTGTCAAAGTAGATCTTCAGGAATTAATAGCCCAGCTGTCCAAGGTCCAAGAGGAGCGAAATCATCGCCATCGTCACGAGGGCCGGGTTTATAAGTCACGCCGCCACCACCACCGCCACCAGCACCGCCAAAGCCATCGTCATCGTCACTCAAACACATCGGATTCGAACTCGTCCGACTCTGAGTCGGACTGGGAGGAAAGAAGAGGGGTCCCTTTTCGTCACGCAGAAGATAAGAAGCCCTTTCTTAGTATAGCTGAAACGTTCCGAAGTGTGGACGTCAAGTACTTCAAGCAAATCTTCTTCGGGACCTTCAAGACCAAAAACTTCGCCAAACTGGCCCACATGCACACTACCCCGGCCAAGGAGGATAAGGACGTCAATGGCCATAACCACATGGTGCACTGCTTCCATGTGTACTCCGAAACCCAATTTCTCCTTTCGCTCTCCCATTCACACTACCAACCTCATCTCAGCAGAAGTCTCTAAGCAAACAGAGAGTCGGATCAGTCTCTCCGTCACACCACCCTCCAGCACTCAAGCCCCCCCCCGGCACAAAACGTCAAGACGACTCCTCACCAACGCAGAACGAGTACGACACCAAGACAAAGTGACCCGTGCCACTGGACGCCGACAATATCGCCAATCTGTAGACCCTTCCTGGTCCGATTCGTAGGAAGAGGAAGATCCAACTCAGCCCCCAAAGCATGGACGCGACCGCGGTGTCAACCAATACGGCGAATCGCTATCACCACCACCACCACCACCCCGCCATAATCAGAACAAGATCAAAGCCTCGGAGGAGACCAGTCAATCATGGTCGAACAGCCGTGTCAACCTTCCTTGAGACTGGCGAGGGAGGGAGGGCGTGCAGACTACGCACGTAACGTATAGATCAGGTCGTCGCGAGCGCTACGTTATCGACAGGTGCCCGTGCCGTGGCTCTTCGCGGATCGGAGAACTCGTCGTGCAATGGCGATGAAGATCGAAATAGGGATCTTATTTGGAGTCTGGTCGCGTCTTAGTTCGAAGCGAGTGGGATGCCGAAAATCCAATGGAGAATATTCTAACGGTGAAACGGTGGACGTTTGGCACCCGGATGGGGTTCAAAGTCATCGGGCCTCGAGGTCTCGGACGAGATGGGCGAGGCTTCAGCACTGGAGTTTAGAACATAATGATTCCGACCGTGAGATTCTGAGGCCTTAGGTGGAGATAAAGTAGGGCTGGATCAAGATGTACCTTAGGGGTCGGAAGAGTCTTGCGGGACGTGGGGGGCGGTTAGGGCAGGTATGGAATTAGGGAGAGACCTCCCTATGTGGAATCCAGAGCTAGACGTTTCTATGTAAAATGACACGCATAACTTATGGGACTTCTGAAATGGTTTCAAGACTCCAATCGGGAGCATTACCTACTCTTGTATGCAGTAGTAGGAGTATAGGGTGACAGCTTTAAAGCGCATGGTTGGCTCTGACATGTGCTTCCACTGGCACAGATCTAGCCGAGTTACGGCGCTCCTGAGCCGCTGGTGCGACCGTTCCTGTCATTCCACCCTCAACATCCATTCTTTCGCCATGCTCAGGCCACACCGCTCCTTCGTCCTGCCCATCCCACTCGGCATCGTCCCCTCCACCTCCATCCTCCCCGTCCTCCGAGTACTCCCTCCCGTTGTGAGACCCGTCCAGCGGTTGATACGATGGTGCAGGTTGATACGATGGTGCAGGTTGAGAGTTGATACGAGGTGCAGGTTGATGCGATGGTGCAGGTTGATACGATGGCGCAGGTTGATGCGATGGTGAGGTTGATGCGATGGGCAGGTAGATGCGATGGGCAGGTTGATACGATGGCGCAGGTTGATGCGATGGTGCAGGTTGATGCAATGGTGCAGGTAGATGCGATGGTGCAGGTTGATGCGATGGTGCAGGTTGAAACATCACTGTATGTTGAGGTGTCATTTGAGATGTCGTCGCAGGTTGAGGTGTCTCTAAAGGCCGTGGCGTTGCTACGGGCCGATATGCCGGTGTAAGCTGTTGTCCAATCCCTTGCCCTTGACTCTCTTCAGTCGATTGCTGTAGTATTCGCATCTGTTCGTGTTATTAGCCTTCGTCGGTTGCTTCAGGCTTCGACTTACAGGTATGCCGTCCTGGAGCGCAAATGAGCCATCAACTCGCCGGATCATGGCTATTGATCGGTCCCCAGATCGGTCGCTGGTATAAGAAATGGCAGAGCTTCCAGGTGACGCTGTTCCTTGGTTAGGATGACTCACAGGTGCTTCGTCTCAGTCACAATGACTTTTAAAGCAAGACCTCGCGCGAGGTCAGTGACCTGGTAGGACGAGCGGTCGTCAGCCTCGTCAACCCATCTGGATCCTTTCCAAATCCCTGGCGCCGAAGCGCGTCCATCCTCGTATGGAAGTGGCCACTGTTGTGGCTGTCCCGGTAGACTGGTAACCCCAGCCTTCACCCAATCTCTCCCAGCCTTCATCGCTTGATCTTTCCACCTGTAAGTTCCTATGACACCGATGTCACAGGTTCTGTCGAGCGTCCAGGCTCTTGCGTCGTAAGAGAGGACAAAGATGGCTCGCCTAGGTCCTGCGATTGCGGGATTTCCTGCTCGAGGAGGTCCAACTTAGCTATGAGTATTTCCAAATGTTGCGTAATTGTCCTTGGTAGCAGCCTTGTCCTCAGGAGCAGCCTATTTCTCAGGAGCAGCGGCCTTGTCCTTGCCAACAATTTTCGGCTGGTATGCGTCAAGATATCCTAGCAACTGTTTGGCGATTGCTCGGATTTCGCTACGCTGGTCCTTGGTTTTTTTGGCGAGGTTGCTAACGATCATTCCATACTGAACCAGCTCTCGGCGTATAATCTTAACAGCTGATGCGTAGAAGGCCGTTTGCTGAGACAAAATCTTGGAATGATCTCCGTGGGAGATCTGAATCTTGCCAGTCATCCCACCCTGAAGTTTCGCTACCACCGCTGAGGCGGTAAGGGGGTCCTGGTGAGTAGCAGTCTTCATGTCATATTGCTTGGTTGCTGACAGGCTTTGGAGATTGTCATCAAGCATTGCCAGATACTCCTTGTAGCTGTTCTTGTTGATCTTGTCCTTTTCTTTCGCTTCGTATAGCAAACGCCCGTCTTGCCCGAGTAGCTTAGGCATGATGCCACTTCCCAGCTGCAACACCTTCAAGTCTGACTCCTTGATGTCGTCGGTAGCTCACGACTAAGCAACACAAATGAGGAAGATGCCTTGTAGTCTCCAACAGTGCCGAGCTTTTTGGTGTTCCAGAGCATGCTACGATGTCTGGATGAGAGACGGACGGACATGAGTAAAGGTAAATGGCTGGGAATAGTCAGCTTTGCGTGTCCTTCATTGTTCCCCGAGGTTCTTTGCAGAGTTATACAAGAAGGAATGCTCCTGGTAGAATCTCTGAGCTTGATGTTCGTGAATTATTATGAGCCTACAAGGATGCTGTGGAACCACATCCTGTCTGCTAGCAACAGCCACACTGCTCACTGTAACAAATATAGACAAATGATCTGATAGTAACTTTCAGATAGGTCGACCCGATCCGGTAGCTTGCTCGTTGTCACTGCCTTCTAGGATCACTATTGAGGACAGTCCTCTGTTAATTGCATTGATCCTGAGCGATCAAGCGAAGCCAGGCTCGCTATCATAGGGGATTAGAACATACAAAGATTATCTCTGATGTATCTAAAAGCATAGGAGCTCCTATGACAAGCTTGTAAGTCAAGACAAGTGGGGAGAGGGCCAACAAGCACCTACTTCCTATGAAATGGTCTCCACTCGGCGAAAGACCCCAAAGGGAAAAGGTTGCTGCGTCAATTCGGACTGAGAGCATTGAGGCACTGGAGAGGTTAGTACGACGAGTGGGAATCAGAGCTACAAATGTGCTTTGTCACTTACCTTGCAATTTGAATTCCAGCAACCAAGATCCGTCTCCGACTAACAATGAAGACTTAGTTGTCTCATATTCGATGCACATTATAGGGGCACAGCAAAATATATGTATATGTGATCAGGCCGTCTCAACGCCGGGTTTAGCAGGCCTGAGTAGTTATATATCGTATCCCAGAGTCAAGGAAATTCTTATATCTATGCGGCATAGATCTGAAGTGAATAAATAGCTATGTATAGGTGTGAGAGGGTGGGTAAGAGAATGTTATGACTCTAAGAGTGACAAAATTGAATATAGAGTCACCTGCTGATCTAGAACGAGTATACTCATGACTTGCTGCTGATAAATGTCTCCCTTTGCCACTATGAAATTCATCAAAGCCAAGGTCTACGAATATGAGACCTACTAACACTCAGTCCACTATGGTCATTTCGTACAGTTGTTGTAGAGCTGCGCTTTCCGGTCGAAGATTATCTGATAAGCTCCTTCCAGCTTAGCGCGGTCGTAGATCTCTCTGCGACTCCGCAAATTCATTCTTCTTACATCACTTCACGCAGAGAAGTCTCTTACGCACAAGGCATTAACCTACAGCCTTGCAATACTGCGGAGGCTGAATATCAGTATTCAAAGTCTCAGAGGATTCTGTACCGGATACTTTTTGCAAATGCATATTTCTCCACATCACGAGTAGGCTGGCTTTGCTCCTTCATCGAGAAGGATCGAGCAAAAGTCATGCATAGAGGGGGCCATTACCGCGGCAAAGGTTCCAAGTTCGATTGAGTTAATACAAACAGTCAATTCGTTCTGGTTGACACCCATACAAGTATGCAGAAACGAAACATGGGAGCTTGTAGGGTTGCCACTTTTCCTAACGATTTGCCTGTGCGGACTTAGAATCTTGAGCCTCTCTCCATGTATGACTTCCACTGAAATCTCTCCCGACTAGCTGAGGAGTACTAGTGCTGGATTTGTATTGCATCCATGAATTGACATATATATCGAACGCCTGTCTGGCCGTCTATTTGGCACCCGAGGTTGCCAAATACATTCTTCGAGGGGAACAAAACGAAAGAAACAACAACAGCAGGATATATGTTGTAAGTAGCTGAGAGTTCCCCATGTTTCATATAACGTTGCTCCCACTTATACGGATACGTAGATATAACCGGAATGTAAGAGAAGTGCTTCGGCTTGAGCAACCAATCGGGTAAGACGGCAACGCAAATACTCCTCAAGTGGTAGGGTGTCACTGTTCGAATGGCAGCCCTATAGCCTTGGCATTAGAGCACTGCCTCGTGATGTCTAACACGAAACGAAGCTAAAACACTTCCGGTGCGTTAACACTTTCAATCAACCCAGTGCTGTGTTGCTCATCGTTCTTGTGCTCGACATTTAGCCTTCGACATCCAGCTTGTGGAAGAAGAATCCAGTGCGTGCTACACTGTTCTTTCCTTCCTACATCACCTTACAACAACTACACCACTTTTTGCAACATCAGCCATACCTAACGCAGTTGTCAATTCATACCTTCAAAAAGTGTGTACCATCCTTGCCCTTCCCTCTAGCCGGCTCTCATTCTCCCACTCACCAACACCCTCACAAGGACCCAGCTTCTACCACATCAACATGGCAGGACAGCCTCGCTACACGGCAATGGACGTGCCATACCTCCTTGAGCGCGATACTACAGCCAACGACACAGTACGAGTTTGTATGCCACAGCGTCGGCCTGCGCGTGAACATGATCGCTACGAAGACGACGAAGAAATGACACCCCCTCGTTACGGACAATCTCGTCGCGGAAAAAACCTCAGACATGTTGGCCGTGGGCTTGCAAGTCAGGATCGAGACATCTATCCGCCCCTGGAGCAGCAGTACAACGACCTGGGACCAGCCGAACACGGTCGGCGCGGACGTCGGTACCCTAGCCCACCCCCATACGATGCGGCTGATGAGGAGCTGGAATTTGATCGACGTGGACGTCGCCGAAACCGCGGTCCAATCTCATACGATGAAGCTGATGGCGGGTTTATCTTCGACGATGAGCTACACGGCGATTCTCGTAGGCACCGATTGAGGAGCGATCGGCTGCCCTCTCCCGCTCGCGACATCGGGATGGGCCACTTTGATCAATGGCCCTACCTTGACACGAACCTCAATCTACGAAGCCTTCATGCTCCACGTGGGCTTCGTGGGAGCCGTGACATGGACGTAGATTATTTGAGTGGCCTTCGGCCTCAAGTGAGACGCGGCATGGAGCCCCGTCTGAATAACTACGACAGTTTTCCGGACAACTACGACAATTATTTCGACATGGGGTGGCGCTTGGATCGTCGTGACTTGGGTAGAGCAGGACGTTATCGCACAGAATACTGCTTCCAGGACGATTTCGATGACGATCATCTTCAGGACAGCATCTACGAAGCACGTCGTCATCTTAGAAATCGTCTCAGAGGATACCACCCCTCAGATCTCACTATCCGATCCGTGTTTGATGATTATAGAGACGAGTTCACTGGAGAAATACGAGCTCCAACAGCTGCAGAGATAATTCATCGAGCATTCCTTATCGAAATGCATCATGAACTCGATGCTGGGGATCGAGAGCGGGAGCGGCAGGAGGCTGAAGATTTCGAAGTCCACGATATTGGACGTGACCTACCAGATAGACGTGGCCGAATGCCTCGTGTCGCTGGACCCCGCCCAGCAGATATCTGGGATGGCGATGTGGAGTTTCATCGTGTGTGGCGTGGTGATCCAAGTCAACCTCATCAAGCTGGGAATCGTCAAAGTCCACCACAAGACCAACGCGCCAATGACAATGTTGACAGATCCCGAGGCCGTAACCAGCAGGCGCCTCCTTCTTACGACTCCGTGACCCCTGCGCAAGTCGCAGCTCGTGTACAGGCCGAGCTAGCCAACGATGCAAATCACCCAGCTGTCGCAGCTGCCGTGGCCTACGCTACTGCCGAAGGCGTCGCCGAAGAGGTTCCTCGCGATCAACAACACGCCCCGGCCCCCGTTGCTCACGCGAAGATTAGAGATGCCCCTCGTGATGGCGCTGGAGCATTCAACAATCCGAACAATCTTGGCGCAGCCCCTCGAGAAACTTCCATCGACAGGGCGCGCCCGTCTCCAGCTGAAGTGGGCGACCATGGTCGTTGCCCTGATAGCTCCGACAGCGGCGCTGACACTCCCGATGACGGCTCTGAGACTTCCCGTGCCGGTGATGACAACTCAGAAGGTGGTGCTTTTCTTCAGAGCGCCATTCACATTACGCTGTGATGATGGTTAACGAGGGAGATCTGGAGAAGGAGGGACTTGGAGTTGGGACTGTGGGTTCATTGTTTGAAAAGGGGGGGAAATGGTCATTTGCTTTTGGTTGCGATGATCACGTGCTTGCGAAAACAGATTGCGTTTTGAGGTTTCATAGACGGTTGTGGTAAGATGAATCATATGTATCGTATCGATATATTCCCCGCACACGGAGCTAGTCACAGTGTTGAGCGAGAGCTTGAAAGCTGCTACGTGTCAGCAAATTCCCGCTCTCCCCACGACGATGTCAAAATTTCAGGTGTGATGTGTAGGTTGCATCAATTATTCTACTCTCAGAACTCTCCTGGGGTATGTCTTCGACCCCCACACCCCATACAAATCTGGTGACATAGCCGACACGCGCAGGAGTCATAGCTGAAACGTGGCCGAGAACCATATTTTGACAGACGATGCTTCGCTGTGTAGGAATGTACCAAGAGGCTCCACGCAATCCCTTGGCACCGTACATACCACATCGAGGGATTCTTAATCTAGGAGGTAGTGAGACTCCCCTCCGATTTGTCCCAAGAATTCATGCTCCCACTTCCCACAATGCCCCACTGTGCATCTTCAATTTCAAAGTCGCACGCAAAGTACCTTCCATGAGAATACATCGCGCCCCACAGTCCCACCAACGCGTTGTGCAAAACTCCGTACGTCAAATGCTGCGCACGGCCACCCGGTCCGGGGATCAAATTCCGATCCGCAGTTAGTAAGCAATCCCACGTCTCCGCAAACCATGACCAGTCGTCTTCGGGCAACCAGCCATCCTCCCCATTTTCGTTAATGGTTTCGCGTAACTCGGACATGGCGTGAAGTAGGACTTGGCCCATATCAAGCTTGGCGATGGGGCGGTCGGGGTGAACTGTGATGTAGATGACGGTTTCGGTGTCTGGGACTTCGAAAGGTATAGCGCTACTGCTAGGTGTAGGGCCTGCAAAGAAGGATGCAGGGACAGCCGTATTATTTGGCAACGGGTTGACACTGATGACGGGCATGGGAGCTGCTGCGGCGCCTATGATCTCGGTACTTCGCAAGTCTTTGTCAGCCGTAATAAAATGAAAAAGTAGGAAAATGTCTTACGCTGCTACCTCTAGCTGTTGGACATCGGTTATAGCTAGAGTGACAGGGGTTCCACCGACTACGCTGACCAAGGCCTGGTCGACCACACCATTGCCAACCGCATCGATTCTGTTGACAGCTGGGGCTCGTTCTTCAATAGGAGCGTGAGGTCTATTCGATGAGCTAGCGGCTGTTGCTGAGCTAGTCCGGGTGCTGGAATGAGGCTTGTGGCCAGGTGCATCGATCCTGTTGACTGCGGGGTCCCTGGGATTCAGAGCGATGTGTGGTCCCACCGTTGTGCTGACGAGAGTCCGAAAGCTACTGCTGTGGGCTGAGCTGCTGGTGGGTTTACCGTGTACATTGACACCAACGGCATCGATCCTGTTGACGGCGGGTTTTCTTGGCTTGAGGGTGATGTGTGGCGCTGTCGATGAGCTGAGGGTTGTTTTTGAACCGATAATGGTGGTAGAATGTGGTCTCTGGGGGGGAGCATCGATTCTGTTAACGGCAGGATTAGGGGCGGCCAATGAGACAGCTACGAGCACGGCAACAAGGCTGTAGGATAGGAGGTTAGCCATAGCTATCAAGATGCCTTTGGAGCAGCAAAGTTGAACCCAGTTGGTAAGGAAGGATAGAGTACGAACCGTGGGAGCAGGTCATGCGACTTATATCATAGTCTTTGCACTTGAGCTGAGGATTGTAGATATCAATTCAATCGAGTTTTCGAAGGACAGAATGAAACAACAGAACAGCAAGCGACAAGCTACATGCGAATGACTAGGAGAGAGAGCGAGAGTATCTCAAGGCACTGAGACTGAAGGGTGTCTATCAGGTATCCCAATCTCCCACACAAGCGCCAGGGGAGTGACGTAGCAAGTCGAATTGATTGGCCTACCATGCTGCAAGACGCAGGGTATTTAGGAGTCCCGGGAGACGCCTCCTTCTTCATGGGCTCGAATGGATTCAAGCGCGGAAAATAGACGTCCGGCACTGCCTCGCGCCGTTCCAAGCCGACTGCAGCTTGAAACGTGGGCAACTGGGGGATAAGATAGTGATATTGGAGATAATTGGATAGAGTGGGCTTCACGCCGTGAAAAATCCCCGCCATTGAAGCGCTTGAGAGGTCAAAGACCGCATGTTGCGCCACCACATGCAAACGTTTCATGCGACGGAACAGAGGGAAGGTGTCCGGCATGAATTGTTGTTGGCTTAGGCTATATACAAGCGATGCTGGACACGGGGTTTTAATGTGGGTACCACACCAGGAGGTGGAGCTTGTTGCTGTAGGTACAGGTAGGCAATCTTCTCAGGAGTTGCTGTTGCGCACTATGATGTAGAGCGAGTTAGTACCGTAAGGACCAAGGTTTCACATTGAGGCAATGAGGCAGTATAGATAAGAAGATAGATACACACATGAAGAAGAGGAGCTGCAAAGCCTGCAATGGAGAGGTCTTTTTAACGGAGTACAGATATGATGTCCTCTCGTGGGGAAACTGAAGTCGGGTGCTCCTTCCCGAAGGATTGCCGCTCTCGCCTGCCGGTCTTGGCACTACATCTTTGCCGCTAAGGCTCCACTAACTGTACGAACTTACGTCTCCTATGTCCAGCGAGACCAAAAGAGATTCCTACAAGACAACTTAATTACCCCGCCATTGTTTATCCGTCTTGCTAGACGTCCATGACCTTCCCCCCCTCCCTCCCATATGTACGCCGCATCTGATTGCCTAGCGGCGCGGGCTACGATGAACATCTGGGGTCAACGGTCAGGGTACCAGGCTTCTCCTCGTCTGGGGAAGCCCAATGACTAAGTCTTGCTGATGGACCGCTTCAGCCAATCAACCCGAGCACACAAGCAGTACTTCCATCGGTACGAGCTTCCGAATCCAGGCTAAAACTGCCACGGCCAGTGTAACGCTGAAGCAAATCGATGGACTCATTGCTCCTGTCTCATCTTTTCTCATAACATCACTCCTTCATAATGCCTTCTGCCACACCTCTGACGTCGAGATCAATAATACCAAACCGGAGCGTTGATACTGTCAGGCCACTGAAAGTCATTTGTATTGGAGCCGGCGTATCAGGGATTCTTGCTGCAATCAATCTACCTCAGGTGGTACGAAAACTCGATCTCGTCATATACGACAAGAACGAGGAGCTGGGAGGAACATGGTTCGAGAACAAGTACCCTGGATGTGCTTGTGGTGAGTACTAAAGCTTCCAAATTCATGAGGCTACGGCTGATCGCGCCATAGATATACCCGCTCACTGCTACCAGCTGTCCTTCGAGTCCAATCCAGCATGGACTTCCTTTTACGCTAAAGCCCCCGAGATTTTGGAATACTGGAAGCGGGTGGCTGAGAAATACGACTGCCGCCAATACATGAAGCTGGGATACAAAGCGCTGGAGGCACGATGGAACGAAGGCGCAGCGAAGTGGAGAGTCAAGCTCGAAAATGTCAAGACGGGAGTAGTATTTGAGGATCAAGGAGATGCATTGATCACAGCCATTGGGGCCTTGAATGAGTGGAGATGGCCGCCAATCCCTGGGCTGCACGGCTTTGGAGGAAAGCTGTTACACAGCGCGGCGTGGGATGAAAGCTATGATTACAATGTGAACATCTCTCAAAAGTCCTTCAGTGCAAATTGCTGAAAACGTCAACAGGGCAAGCAAGTCGCTGTCATCGGAGCTGGATCGAGCGGCATCCAGATCGTGCCAAGCTTGCAACCAGAAGTGCAGCACCTCGATCACTACATCCGAGGACGAACTTGGATAGCTGGGACCTTCGCCAGAGGTGAGATTGAAAAGCGCCATGGCGCAGCTGGCAACTTTGATTTCACGGAAGAAGAGAAGGACGAATGGCGGAAGGATCCCGCTTCGTATCTAACCTTTCGCAAGAACATTGAAGCAGAACTCCAGGGCGGCCACAACGTCATTGTGCGTGGAAGCGACGCACAAAAAGATGCCCGTGAATATTTCACTCAATCGATGCGCGACCGCCTGGGCAAGAAGCCTGAAGTGGCCGACCATATACTGCCAGATTTTCCGCCTTTGTGCAAGCGCCTTACACCAGGCCCAGGTTACCTTGAAGCTTTAACTGCCGACAATGTCTCTGTCATTCCGACTTCAATCTCCCACGTCACATCGACTGGCATCGCCGCTTACGATGGCACCCACCGCCCGGTTGACGCAATCGTCTGTGCGACAGGTTTTGACACCAGCTTTTTAAATCGCTTTCCGGTCTATGGCATTAATGGCACTTCGCTAATTGACAGATGGAGCGAGCGTACATCAAGCTACCTCTCCATGATGGTTGACAGTTTTCCCAATTACTTCATGTCCGTCGGCCCCAATAGCGCTCTCGGCACCGGCAACTTCATCATGATCTTAGAACGCCAATCCACCTACTTCGCATCTTGCCTGGCTAAAATACAAACGCAAAACATCCTCAGCATGCAGCCCAAACCTAGCGCTGTCAATCGCTTCGCCAACTTCTGTGATGAATACTTCAAGGGCACTGTCTTCAGCGAGGACTGTAGCAGTTGGTACAAGTCTGGCAAAGACGGCAGGGTGACAGCTTTATGGCCTGGTAGCAGCTTGCATGCTATCCAGGCCCTAGACCAGGTACGATGGGAGGACTTTGACTACGAGTACGTTGATGGCAACGAATTTGGCTGGTTTGGGGATGGTTGGAGCGAGCGTGATAGGAGCAATGAAATTTCGAAAACCTACTACTTAGATAGGCAGGGGATGTTGGATTGGCCTCTGGACAAGACCCAGGCAATAAAGAATGGCCATGGTGCAATGAACGAGAATAAGGATGACTGATGAAATTCATCTTGCTGGGAGTAAGCTAGAAATTATATATATGAACCTCGTGCACATGCCCTTTACAACTCTGGCTTCTGAACTATTAACTTAGTGACAGCAAGGTCTAGCCATATCAAACACTTCCATTCCATCTTGTTTGGTGAGGCATCGTTTTTCGCCTTGGCGCCAAGTATCACTCTATGCAATACTAAGTGGATAACAGGTGCGCTAAGATAAGGCGCGTCTGTTCAAGTCGCGTCGTTGGGAACACTGCATTATCCGCAGCTACGCATAACCAGAGCCTGTACCATTGTATCTCTCAGCAGCCTCATCGGTAACCCAAGGTAGTCTGAGTATTTCGATTCAGCATCAAATTCGATTGAGCTTGCATTTTGATATCTCCCTCAAAATGCCTATCCTCCAAGTCACACCAGAGAACAATCGTCAGCTTCAGAATATCGCCAACACACTAGCAGCAGCAAAGAAAGTTGTTGTGTTCACAGGGGCCGGTATATCTACAAACTGTGGCATACCAGTAAGCTTGAAGCCGCCCCACTTCACCCATTATACTAATTACCGCTGTAGGACTTCCGCTCAGAAGAAGGACTCTACTCCCTCATAAAAGCCCAACGCGATGCTGTTCCCTTAGGCGCAATCTCTGGTGGTACGATAAGGAAATCCTCCAGCCCTCCCTCTCCCTCCACAAAGTCAAAGTCTATACCTCCCTCGATTCCCAAGAACGTCAAAGGCAAAGACCTCTTCGACGCCCAGTTATGGAAGGATCCCATCAGCACCTCAGTCTTCTATACTTTCATCGCATCTCTCCGCCAGAAAATACACGAAGAAGTCAAGAAAGCCACATCTACTCATCGCTTCATAAAGACCCTACGAGACACGCGGAAGTTGGTTAGATGCTACACGCAGAATATCGATGGGTTGGAGGCAATGGAAGGATTGAATACGGATATGACCCAGGGAAAGGGCAGTCGAACGCGGTTCACCAAGAAATCAATGGAGGGTCAGAGATTGCCATCACGGACGCAGCCGGGGGCTGACCTCGACGGTGGATGTGAAGTTGTGCAATTGCACGGGGACTTGAGAGTCTTGAGGTGTACGCTTTGCCAGCAGACATGCGAATGGGAAGACCGACATAGTACGCGGCTGCTTGCTGGAAAGGCTCCAACATGTCAGCTTTGTGCGGCGGCAAACCAGGATCGGCAGAATCGAGGGAAGCGCGGAACAAAGATTGGGTCCTTGAGGCCGAATATTGTGCTCTACGGAGAGGAACATCCATCGGCTGATGCCGTGGGAGACATTACTGCCTCAGATCTAAAAATGAAGCCGGATGTGTTGTTGATTTTGGGCACATCGCTCCATGTACATGGGCTTAAGACTATGGTCAGAGAGTTCGCTAAGGCTGTCCATGCGAGAGCTGGAGGGAAGGGGATGGTGATATTTATTAATCTGACAAAGCCCTCGGCAAGTGTATGGAAGGATGTACTGGACTATTGGGTGTCCATGGACTGCGACGCCTGGGTTCACTCCATGAGGAGGCATCGACCGGATATATTTCAGACACAACCAAGGCTGAGTATGCAGGTAATGAAGGCAAATGACAAGCAGATACCGAAGGCCGTCGCACATGGGATCGTGGCAGCCAAGCCGTCGAATGACAAAGAGAATTGGATGACTGGTTCCGTTTCCAGTCTACAGAAATCTACACAACCCCGAGTCCTCCTTACACCGAAGAAGAAAAAGCCTTTGGAGAACAGAAGTGCCCCAGCTGGGAAAGGTTCCCGATTCGGGTTACCCTCATCGCCACAGAAGGACAGACAGATTCCAGACCACAGCTCCCAGCTCCTGGACCAGCTGGAAGAAGTTGCCTGCACTAAAAGTCTGGCCAAGCAGGAAGGCAGAACGGACGAAACCTCGCAGCTGCCGACTCCTCCGTCAACAGGTCACAGAGGATACAAGAGATCCCTAGCTCAAAACTACCAAGACATCTGTGAAACGCCGTCGAAGAAGAGGAGGAAGGAGAGCGTGGATGTGTGGCAGGATTAGAGTGAATAAATAAAAGTGGGAAAAAGAAAGGGAAAGAGAGTGTACAAAGACTATTGGCGTTGCATGGAGAGCAGTATCCTTTGCTTGGGAAGCAAAGCTCCGCCGAAAAACCGTTGTTTCAAAACTTATGAACGTATCATAGCTTTGCATACCAGAAGAAATCATATCCTTACATCATCAGGATCATGCTCATGGCATACAACCTACACCACATCCCAATACACCCTTCAGGTGTCAGGAAGCTGACTCTCAGCACGAGCAATACCCACGGTCATGTTCGCCTCAGCGACCAATCAAACACCCCTTTTCAAAGCAGCGAAACCTACAAACCATGCGAGTCCACAATTACTCACAAATACATAGGGGTCGTTGCTACCGGAGCCCGGTCCTACCTCGGGCCAGCGGAAGAGTCACAGCACACCAGAACCCAGCATTCATCTCACGGACTCAAAACTTGAAGCCGCAAGAGGCTTTGTACAGCGCCGCCTTGTTTCATAGCCTTCGGCGTCGTCGGTTTGTGATGTGTGTCTGGGATTTCTTTCTCGTTCGCTTCGATACTGGTTTGATTCCGTTCCCATATCTCCTAACGAGGATGAAGCTACGACGTCGGCAGCGTGTGAGGGAGTCGTTTGTCCATGAGGGTGCTGAGACTGAGCGTCACAGCTGCTACGAGTCGTCTGTGAATCCCGAAGAACGGGTCTCAGTGCCCGGGAAGAAATCTTCCAAACACGTCCGACAAGCCGACATTCGGGGCGAGTGGTGGAAATCACGATAGCGCCTCGACGTACGTACGTACCTACCACATGCATCCACGACCTCAAAGGTTTCGGTTCTGATGAGTCGTGGCGTGGGGAGACACAAAAACCGGACCAAATGATCCAGACTTGTTTTACCTCGACGGAAGCCAGGAAGACCCGACGGACCAGCGTGCAGACAGCCACTCCTCCATTCACAAGATCCAAATCAACGGAGTTTTCCTGCGCGTGGAAGACCTAGGGGTTTTGCGGGAACGATGGCAGATACGGCTACTCGGTCCGAATAACACTCATCGCGCCGTTCTTGGATCGTAGCGATCGAGCCGGACTGGGAGGGGTGGTGTAGATGTGGTCTCTCCCAGAGTCCGAGGAGGAAAGATTGACGCGGAATCGGGAAGGAACTAAAAAAGCTATCGAACAAATCTTCTTTCTGTTGTGATCAGACACCCAGTCAAAAGAGTGTACTCATTTTCAACACAACGCACAACAGGGTTCCTTCACACCAAAGACAAGGCATCGGCGCTTTCATGGCCTCATGGTATGCTAGATATCATGGTTCCATTATAAAGGCGCTGAGGACCCGCGAGGAAGGCGATTGCGTTAGACCTTTGCATCATGGAACGTTGTCAATGATCTGTTTAGTAACTTCAGCTCTCGCTAGCCGTTAACGTCTAGTCCATCCCGAACAGCAGCAACGGCCTCAATGATGCTCTCGGTCTCCCCGTCCCCAGTCCAGATCTCCAGAATCTCCAGTCCGACACTCCCAAGTAGCTCCTTCCACTGAGCTTCCGTTCTCTCCATCCCGGCGACGATTGACATCATGTTGAAATCCGAGTGCGGTGGGAAAGGTCCACCGCCTCGGAGCGGAACGACGAGTTCGTTGATGAGTAGCCTAGACGTGCCGGGTGTCATGGCCGAGCTGGTATGTTGGAGGATGAGGCGTGCGAGGGGCTCAGGCCAGTCGTGGAGAATGTTGCGGAGGTAGTAGAATCGTGCGCCTGTTGAAGAAGGTGTTAGGCGACATTTGTTAGAAGACGATAGGCGAGAGAAAACATGGGGATCTTGCGAGCATTCGGTGGAGAAAAAGAAGTACGTTCAGGACAGGGAGAGTGCTCGCTGTAATTTATGGAAGAAGATATTGAGAAAACCTTACCAGTAACAGGCTGTGGCGTGAAGAAATCGTGCACCATCGCCTCCATTCCGGAGTCCGCTGAGACGTGATCGATTGTTTGTTGCCGGTCCTGAAGAATCATCCGACCCTTCAACGCTGGATATCGCTTCCGTAGCTCTCTGATCTCACTCCCAAGCGCTCCGCCGACATCGACGAAGAGGATGTCGTGCTCACTGTCACGAGGTTCGGCTAACAGCTTCTGCTCGAACGGGTAGAAGTCGAGCCAATAAGCGCGCCCCTCGCGCTGGGCAGTCATGAAGATATTGAAGTCGTTGAAGACTTTGGGATGGTTGGACCACCATTCGAACGCGTGCATGTCGGTTCGCAAGCCGACTTGGAGCCCGGTGTGGAGATGGTCTGTAGGGTTCTGGTAATGTGATTTGGCTAGGGTAGCAGGAAGGCTGGCCCAAGCGTGCACAAGACAGTCTACGCTGCAAATTTTGGGTCAAATGTGGGACTGGAAAATGCCACAGCAGGTACATACAAGAATCCTGCGCCAGAGATACCTTTCGCCGTGGTAAAGGCCCTTGAGATCTTTGTCGCCACATATGTTTCTGGACCTGCCTCTGCAACTGCGTCAATGCTGGCTAGTAATCTGAGAATTCGGCCTAGCAGCGTTGCGTCTGCCCCGGTCGCCCCCGCCAGTTGTTGAATACTCTTCGGTTCCTGGCTGTCAGCCAAGATCTTGAATATACCAAGATCAACAGCAAGGCGGATCGCGACCAAGTCTAGGGGCTAGTCCAAGCCATCGCATCAGCACCGAGCAGTTGCATTCGAAGGGAGACGTGGGCTCTTGTATGAAGAGGGCTCACAGAGTACACGATACGGTCAACAATATCCCCGGGACTCTCCAAAGCGACGCTCAGTCTGTTCAGATTCCGTCGTAGTTCCCTCGCGGCATCGGGGCTTAGAGCTTCCGATACTTCTTCAGGAGGAAGCTTACTTATTGTCTCAATTTGACGTGAAAGGGAGGAAAGGTTGACCTCCATGGTTGAACAGCGTTGGCATGTGATGAGAGGCTAGCCAAGCTTTTTGAGACACTGAGGTTTAAAGAGAGTCAGAAATCGTTTAGATCACCAGATTCCAAAGCTGACAGGTAATGGCGGTGATGATCTGGTGAGGCTTGCGAGAAAATCCTCAGCTCATCAAGTAGGGTTACCTTATTGATGCATGGCTGACGCATGCTCCACATGCGCACACTAACGAGCCCCGCCATGCTTCCAGCCAATGATGACACTTCGGTTGGTAGGGTACTGTTCTCCATGCCATATTGGATGCTGCTTGTCATCGAGGGATGTGATTCTAGCCGTATAGCATATACTAGCTCACGGGAGAACAGACGATGACGCTAGCAGATACTTATACTCAAACCTGAGCTCACTTTTCTATGAACATCAACATCAATCCTTGAGAGTCAAGTCTTAATGGGACGCGCGATTTTGGCTCACAAATTCCATCTGCAGCGAAGAAAGCCTCTCACGTCATTACTCATTGAGTTAGTCGGATACGCTTTCTGCAGGATGGTCTTCAACACTTTCAAGTGCATTCTCACATCATCAATTGTCCAAGTAGTCAAGTCCGCTTTATGCATGATTGTCTTAAATCACAGCAGCTTTGACCTGCATCTAAGAAGATTTCTCACACCCATAATTCATTCAAACCATAGCGACTTCAAATCGGACCGAATATGTGTTCCTCCTTTTTGATACATGTACACCCCTTCCATCGGATATAATTTCTCACATCATTACCTGTTAAAGCAGTCGAACCCGTTTCGTACAAAATGGTCTTGAAATACAGCAACTTTAACCGACATTGCATCACACCGTCAAGCAGCCAAGCAGTCGGATCCGTTTACGCTGCGTAATAGGCCGGGCTGGGACGGGGCTTCGACGGGAAACTCAAGTAAGAGCCTACTTTCTTTTCTGTAGGGTTGCATCAGAGACGGGTCCGTTCCCCTGCAGAAATATGGCAGAATACAGCAACCTTCGAAGAAAATGCCTCACACCTTTACGTATGTCCGAGGAGCTCAGCGCGCATATTTTATTCCAACAGTCGCTCACATCAGCCCGATCCAAAGGGGTGTACACATACCGAAAAGGGCCGACACTTATCAGATCCCTTTGAAATCCGCTAATTCAACGTCGAGAGTAATAAATTAGCCAATCAGAAGGCGCAGGTACGGCTCACTATCAGCTTTACAAAAGAAAATACACGCTGTCCAGCCCGAGATATCGTACATACTTTGTTTACCCTCTAGCACCTGCTTCACAGATACTGCCACATCCCTGTTCCCACTTTACGAGTGTGGATACCTGATAGCTTTGGAGGGTACACTGTGTGCACGCACATAGTTTTCCACAAGAACTTGACTTGGCCGTCCTGCAGACACTCAACTTCCGAAGTAACACTGCAAAGGTACGGCATGGTGACCACCACCGGTTCCATGACGTTCTCAAAATTGCAAATAGGCTCTAGCTCGGCGTAAGAGACTGTTATAAATCGCGTCCTTCTCCGTCCTATTTCCGTAAATTACAGCAGGGGTCTATCTGCCCTAAGATCACACATCTTCATCTGGCAAACCTCGTTACTTCGCTCGCTTTTACCGTTTACAATGGCAGCGCCGCCTCCTTCGCCAGAGGGAGATCACAATCGGGCTGATGAGTTGGTGATAGTCACTTGGGCTTTTTGCTCGCTCTCTTTGATAGTTGTTGGTCTCAGGGTATATTCTCGGGTATGGATCACCCGAAATTTGTGGTGGGATGACTGGGTTATATTTTGCACCATGGTACGAGAAGCCCAGGGGAGGACAATGATCAGAAGCATCTGACACGTGAGTTTAGGGGCTCACAATAACCTATTCTGTATTCTTCACGCTTTACGCAGCCAAAGGCGGCGCTCGTCATGTCATGTACTTGAGCTCTGCACAGCTCGAGGAGACCACTCTGTTCAACTGGGTATCGCAAACATTTTGTATCATGGCCATTGCGACGGGCAAGATCTCGGTTGCAATTCTGATGGGCCGACTTATGGCACCGAATAGATGGAGGAAAAGGATTCTCTACTTCCTATCC